CATTAGGATCGAAAATCAACGCTCGTGGTTCATTTTCAAACAGACCCACAGGACTCGTGGTGACACTAAGTGGTTGCATCTTCAATATAAAAAGTTGTCTGACATCTAGTTGAATTCCGCAAAAGATGCACACATCCTTCTAACAAAAAAATGGTATGTTTCGAAGAAAAAAATCCTTTGGCTTTATTGAATCTGCTTCTTATATTGCCATGGATACAAAATATTTTACATAGATCTTCATAAAAAAGACGAGGAAATGTTGTCCACCATTTTTTTAGTGAAATATTTTCGTAAATTTTCTGAAGTGAAATGAATTTCGTTAGAAGAAGAGCAAACTGAATTAACATACCTCACTAGTTAAAGAGGCGAGCGAGGCTGTTCTATCCACGTAGCAAAATCGACAAATATTAATGTAATATGATCTAAAATTAAACTCAAATTAAAAATAAGTAATAAAAGTCGATTTGAATGCTGGGGTAGTCCTTGTCTTATGCTCGTGCAAAAATTTGCTAGAGCTCAATCGGATTTCCTTTTGAGGATTTAACACTGGAAAACATTTTCACAATAGCATTGACCTTTCATCAATCGAAAAAGTAAAAATACCTTCATTTAGTCATCACTCTTATATGGTACATGTCAACCAAGAAAGATACTAATATATAAAATTAAGAGTTAAACAAGAGAAAAAACCGTTTTCGATAAAATAATTAAGAGAGTTCGGATGAGGTGCCCATTGCCTTATTGATATTCGTATTTGATTGCATCAAGAGAGCCTTATACTGTTCTAATGCTTTTGCTGAACCTTTCTCTAGTATTTTGTAACATTGCGTTGATTTTGCCAGTAAATCCTTTGCTTTCACAGCACCGGCCTCTTGTTTTCGAACACGCAGTGCCTCTTTTCGATAATACTGAGCCAATTCATGGTACAGTTCTTTAATGAGATCCTCGGTTGTATCGATTTCAATCACTCCTTCAGAAAGTGGAAACTGAAATCCAACGAATTTGTCTGCCGGTTGAAGCCAAAAGTAACTCATGAATCCACGCCGTTGAAGCAAGTGGACACATGGAGGTTTCTGTGAAACGATTAAGAACGGTTGGTCAGACTCCAATCTATCTACGCTGTCTTCGAGTTCGTTAGTATTGAAACAACTGTTGACTTCAATCATAACAATAATATCATCCATGAAAGATGATAGGTCCACATTGTCGCTGAAGAGAACTGGATCACTGCTCGCAAGGGACTGATTTGACGGCAACTGAAAAGTTCCTAGAAAGTATGCAAGAATGTTATCAAGCTACATATTTCTCTTCTATTAAGTTTTCTATGGAGATTTTCAAGACAGCCAATGCCATCTAATTAAGGGTTGATTTATGACAGCAGAATTTATTGAACAGTAAAAAAGCAAGGATTCATAGATATGCGTTCATGTAGGACTCAGAAATGCTAAAGTACTCGTTGTACTCTCTTCATTGTGGAGTGACCCACTATGCATAATCCAAAGCGCCATGAAAATAAATCATACTCTTGCTTAACGTAAGTTTCAGTGAAGGTTCACGCCTCCAGTGAAGCGACCTAGAGTCCAAAAAGAAAACTTTGTCTACGTAATGTTCGAAGCCCTATAGTTGTTAGAATATGACGTTGACACAAGGTGTGACATTTGTGAAATCTCACTCCATGAGCCGGCTCACGGATGGTAAACAATGGAATTTGAATATCAAAAATCTAAGATACCTGTTCACATTTCTGAAGATCTTGTTTTAATACATTACTGACTAACGAGTATCCTAGAACAAATGAATAATTTTATTTCCACACTCATCCCTTTCTTCACACCTATGACTTTTGGTATCTTTTAATGCTTACTAAAAGAAAGAGTCTACACTTGAACCCATATTCTCGTCATGAATTATTGTAATCTTGTTTATGTGCAGTTATGAAATAATTTCCATTACTCCTTTTCGTATGTTCAGAGAAAGCAATTTATTTTGTCTAAATTTGAGAGATGTAATCGATCACTCACTTAATTGACCACCGTCACCATGATCGTGGTGTTCTTTATCATTTTCAATATATTCGGGATCATTCTCCATCATCACTTCTGTTTCTTCGATCAGCTTGTTTGTGTTTCGAATTGCTTCGGTATCTATGATTTCTTTCGGATCGTTGTTGATTAGATCTAGTCTACTTTGACCCAAGAAATACTCAGCTATATCATGGGTGAGACGTCTCAAGAGGTCAGCGTGGCAGTCGAACAAGTGGACATAATTGACAAACTCTATATCCCAATCCAAATGCGAGGCCAAATTTGGACAGTATATGTAGATGTGCCTGTACGATGCATGGGTCATTGGATCGGTAAATTGTTGATGATATCTGGTAAGAATTATTGGAACAAGAGTCTGACCCATCTTGGCAGAGGTAACAAAAAAGATACGCTTTGTTTTATACCGTTCGAACGCTTCAAGACAATCATTTTCATCGTTGAATACTCTTCGTAGACAGGGCACGTCTTTGAGTAAAACAGAATTGCCTGTATCCATCACTATTAGATTATCCAAGCGTTTGTCGATCAGCATGACAACCAGCGCTTGGTCTGAATCGGTGTTAGTGCTAAAAGCTTTGTTCAAGTGTTCATATTCACTAGGTTTGGCGATTTCTGTATCGACCAATGTGACAATATACTCTGGCGTTGGGGACTTATTGTAGCCCACAGATGTTGAATGATCTGTAGTCATAATTATCTAGAAAGCTATTTCAATTTAATTCTCGCGCTGGTGCATGGGTGTGGGTGTGAGTATATATTATATTTGAATTCACTCACATCACACCCTCAGTCCCACAGCCACACCCACACCCTCAAGTAAACCAACGCTTTGTTTTCTGTATACGACACCGAGATAGACGCTTGTAGTACAAAACCAAGCTATTGGGCGTTTGTATCTGGGTCTGGGTGTAGGTCTACCATGCATAATTATTCTACACCTATACCCACACCCTCAAGATAGGTATCGAAGATTAGTCCGACAACGTATTTAGATTTTCAGGCTGGTTCCGGAAATCTATTTTTTCTGGGATTCCAATGCAATCATTTTTATCTTATCTAGAGTGCAATAGCCATACAAAGTGAAGATAAAAGCATCCTCCTATCCCTTCAAACTGACAGTTCATCAAAGATTCGGGTACTTAAAAAAACCCACTTGACCAGCCTAGCTAGCATAAGATACTTGATAAATTTAAGTTACTTTTCTCCACCTCTTCTAAGTTTGTGCTTCATTGCTGCAATAAATTCCAACTGAAAAAAGGCGCTCATTGTTACATCACTAGTATTTCATGAAGATGCGTTTTTCTAGTCGATTGATTTCAATTGATGAAAACTAGCCCTGTGACAGTTTGTGAACCAAGAACTGGAGCTTATACCAGTCATTCATTTCGTTTGAAAAGAATTGGTCCCACTAAAAGTTGTTTTTGTGCGAATTGGATTAATAATTGAGTATAATCCGTCACAGAAAAAATGAAAATAAAGAACCTGATTGAAATCAAGCCTGTGTTCAACCAAATTCTTGCAAGAACAGAAGCCACTGGTACCAGTTCTTACAAAACAAAATGGTTACTCATACCACTTCTTTGAAAAAGAACTAGCGCATATAGAACTGTCAGCTGTCATAGGCCTAATGAAAACAGATAGTTTACCTTACCTTTCTTCAATCCGTAGACACGCACTTTGCTGCTTCGCAACGAATAGCCATACTGCGATTTCATATCCCCATTCAAATGGTTGAGTAGCGCCTTTCGGAAGAATCATCTTGAACATGTTTTTAAGTTGAATGTGCTTCACATGACGACACTTTAAACAAGCAACCTTATTGTCCTGAATTGATGAATGGATTCAGAGAGAAGAAATTTCGCAAAAAAAAACTTTTCTTTCGCCACACACACTAAATTCTGCACTTTTATGGTCTTGATGCTTTTGCGATCAACGCTTTTTTTTCGAACATGTGCTTTCTTTGGCAAAAACACATCACCTGTATGGATCACGGAAAACTATAAGAAGAAGAAAAAAGTCGAAGTAACAAGCAGGATGCATTAAAAAACAGCAGAGAAAAACCAAATGGTGGTGTTTGCGTATCGCCTGCATCTAATGTTGATGCTTCTCTCTCTTACATTTTCGCAGTCACTACGAAACGATTTCGTCAAGCATCAAACGTAATAAGAAAAAAACCTAAAGCATCAAAGGTCAAATAGATCCATACTGGATTCTTTCTATCAGCAATAAAAGAAGATATTCATACATGTGACGATTTTCGATCGAATAAGTATAGATTCGGATGGCATTATGCGTTACTCTGTTTCCTTATATTATCCAACTGTCACACATACAACCCACGTTATAACGTGTAGCTAGGAGAGAGGAAACAAGAAGGATGTGAGTCAGAGTTTTAACAAGTAGGATTTTTTCCTTAGCGATACCGGTATCGATCTAACTGGTCAGACCGGACCGATCCGTATGCCGGCGTGAGAGTATGGATGCCGGTGTGGGCATGGGTGTTGTCTTCAGTCACACCCGCACTCACGTGCTCACCCTCAATTTTATTGGGAGATCACTTCGGTAAACTACCCATGGAAAAATATTCCTTATAACGAACGTGAAAAAACACGTTTTCGAAAAAACTGAACGTATTTTATCGACTAAAAACGCGTTCTAAGAACAAATTGACGCGTTCAGATGCGTTTCTCAAAATTGTGAACGCGTTCGAACACATACTTTTTAGTAAGCAACGCGTTTTATTATATTGAACGCGTTAATAGTGGAGGCGTCTTTTATTGTACGAACGCTTTCAACTTATATGCGTTTGAAATTGTTCGCGAGTAATTCGTTCTTATAGTGAGACAACCCGTTTCTCCAAAAACGCTTGAAAACGTATACTGAAGAACTTGTTCGGCAACTTTCAGAACGCGTTCTTTTATGTAGTGAGAAGTACTCATTTTAACTTAATGGAATTCATTATTTGAAATATATCGAAATACATGTAACGAAAGTGCTATGCCAATTAAGAAATATGTGTCAACATGAATAAATTTCTTTCTGTTGCAATGCACTGAAAGGTAATGTCTTGTTAGGCAAAGTGATCATCTATCTAGAGTTTCGTAATAAATGATTTTCCTTTTTCCTAAGCTAATTTTTTTATCAAACAAATTCGCTAATCTCATGCTTTTTTAATGTACATTCTCAAATCGTAAATCCTTTCTTTTATTTGCAAAATAGTAATCGGGAAAGTTTCAATTGATTTTAAACATTTAACAGAAATTTTGCAAAAGTTATACTAGTGTCTGTCTTAAATGTATTCATCACATTTTTATTTGCCATCGAACACATCACTTAGTTTTGCTCATAATAAAAATCAGAATTGTCCATCGATTTCTAATTAATTTCTATTAAATTTAGCTTTTGTCGATTTAAATTTATAATGAATTTAACTTTTTAACATTAACAAAAATTTTATATTTACTCAAATCGATTGTACAATGTGAATTCAATTTAAACCAATTTAATTAGACTTACATTCGATAAAAGCCACAGTAAATGAACTTACACCGCATAAGAAATATTTAAGTCTAATTACATGAATTTTAATTGAATTTGAACAGCTTTGCATTGAATTTTTATTAATAGAAGCTAGATTAGAAAACTTTTATTAAATGTCAAAAATTAGTAAAAAGTTAAATTTTCAATATTTTATTTTAAAAGAATTAATGTTCTTTAAATTTATTTTAGAATTTATTAATTTTTTTGTAAACATAATTCGATCAGTTTTAAGTATAATTTTCGTTAAGTCAGAATAACTTTTGGTTAATACAAATAGAAAATTTAGCACTTCAAACATACGTAAGCATAGTTCATTCGTCTATTCACTACTTCGAAACTACAAGTTTATCTGGTCGAATTCACTCTTCGGTAGTAAAAACAAAACGGATTGGAACGCGTTCAGTGCGAAAGCAAGTATTCGAATAGAGGAACCAGCAGTCTGAGAACTTATACGAATAGTAAAGGAACACGTTCGAGAGCATTGCAGAGTTGACAATGGAATAAATAAATAATTTCTCTTTTTTCTAAAAAAGAACGCGTTCTTACCGCGAAAAACGTGTTCCTATGAACGATCAGAACGCGTTCCTTTTATTTAAAAGAACGTGTTTTTCATTACACAAACGCATCTGAAAAGGTCGAAAAAAGCGTCTTCACAACGCAGTCTTTTATGTCGACAACGCGTTCTTATCCGCTCTTCTTTTGAATTCTTTTTTCATGGGTAACGTTTTTGTCCGATGCTAGGTGTATTAGAAATATTGGCTTGATTTCATATCAAACATTTGAAATAACATATAATTGGTCCATTCACTATTTATCATACCATGAAAATAACTAGTTTAATACTGGCTATTAACTTTTTTTTTATTTACAGTGATATAAATATCATACATAAATTCGCGATAGGCTTACAAGATCAGCGTTTACAAAAGGATTGCCAAATATATTTTGATACAGAAAATATTTATTATTCCATACGTAATGTTCTTCGAGGTGCGCATCGATGACATCATAATGATAAAATAGTGAAAGGATTCATAAAATAATAAAAAGAGTTTGCAAAAGTGCATACTGATGATATTAATATAAACTTTATCTACAGGATTGGTTTCACATATGTTGTTGATGCTTGTGTTGATGACATCAAAACTATTGGTGATATGAAAGTTTTTGAAGATATTTATCCTTCAACAGGATACGTTTTTTTAAATAGATAACGAATTGTGTCTATATCTATTAGTTATTTGATACTCTTAATTATTGTCATTATGCCTGCCTATAGCTAATGCAACGCAGAACTCTGATGTGTGTTGAAATATTTTCACATCTTAGACGAAATTTACGTTAGTGACAAAATCCACTTTGCCTTTTCTGTCAATAATTTTAATCAAACCACATTTACTTACCCGCATTCCGTTTTTATTTGATAGTCAACCAGGCTGATTGAACGTGCCTTCGTCGTTAAGAAATGGTAGATCTATTTTCAATTGATTTAAGATCATTGAATATACACTGACAACTATATTTTTCGGTGAGAAATAAATCATAATTACAGTTCAATAAATCAATGTTGGGAAATCCTTGTGTTCATAGTTTCAATTCTTTAGTCATAATCGTAGTCTTTTTTATGTTATTTTATTTTTGAATAACATCATATTTGATCCAAATAATATATAGCGTTGATTCAATATAAAATTTTAGAATAACTTGATAGTTGGAGTCACAATTGAGTGTTACATGGGAATCATTCATATTTACATCAGTCTCTTTATCATCGATGATCTGAGTAGCACGTGCAACGTTGCTTTTGAGACGTTCTACGCCAAGTGAAATCGTGTAACGCTGTCGTTGTTGTGTGAATGGCGTTTCGATTATTAATGTCATATCTAGGGGTGGCACTTTAACTTTAAAATACTTTAAGAAAGTAATTAAATTTAAAGTAAAGCTTTAAGCTTTAAACTTTAAAGTTAAACTAAATTTTTCATAAAAAATTTATTTTCCCGTAAAAAAAAGTATTTCTTCCATCAAAAAACATTTTTTTTTATTAAAAAATAGCTTTCTCTATATGAACATTGTTCTTTTATGGCAAAAATAATCTTTTTAGGAGCAACGAGTTTTTGAAAAATACACTTTAAACTTTAACTTTTATTAAAGTTAAAATCTAAAATACCCTTATTTTCACTTCATTTTAAATTCAAAGTTAAAGTAGGTATACTTTAACTTTAACTTTAAAGTTTAAAGTTTTACTTTAACTATAATTTTAAAGAAAAGTTAGAGTGCCACCCCTAGTCATATCATCATGAGCATAGTGCCACTGGAGTACCGCTGACTTCCATGTTTTGGCAATTTCAGTATTCGCCAAGTTGATTACTTGTTTCGGTGTGTCTTGTTCGAATTCGAAGTCAATCACATCATTATTGTAAGGGCTCGGGCGAAGCTCACCCGTCGATTTCATTGTCGACATAGCTTTAATAAATGTTACCAGTTGATGGTGTGTAGGCCAAAAACGCACAAGTTGCTTGCTATATTCGACTGATACTTGTAAAAACAAAACATTTATATGGTTAAAACACGCATGGTAATGTAGGTAGATAGAGGAAAGATGAAAAGAAAAATATTCACGTATAATTGTACAGCTTTGAGAAAAAAATCCGTCCTTATCGTGAATCATTTCATTGGTAAAATACCTAAAGCAAGAATACACGTCTTTTTTCGACGCTATGCATTTTTTCACATTTTTTGTTACTGTTTAGATATGGATGAGACGAGGACTACTAAAAAAGCCATGAACCACCACCCCCCTCTCCCGCAAAAAAAGAAATCATTTTCACAAATGGATTTTTATATTTATTTTGATTTTTAGGACAATATCATATAGTCTCGATTATTTAAACTTAAAGCGTATAATAAAAGAATAATTGTAGAACATAAAAAGGATAAAGCGAAATTAATCCAATCAAATATTTCGTGGAATAAAATTTAAATTAGCTTGGTCTGACCAAGCTGCATATTGTGAATTATCCATTAAGTCAAAATGACGATTCGTTGGTAATAATTGATGTTTTTGACCACCGATTTTTTCTCTACATTCAGGACAATGACTTTCTTGATTGGCACCACCACACTAATTCGTCGAAAGTACAAAAGACATATTTTATTTGTGATAAATATTTTTAAAATGAGTACATACTTCAGTAATCACGTATGGATGACCTTTCGGGCAAACATACCAATGACCTTTTTTTAAATTTAATGCAGCAACGATTGCTACTCGTTCATTTTCAGTTATACCCAAGCCAGGTAAATTATATAGATTCTCTAATGTTTTAATGAGACTATCAAATTTTTCTTTATCTACGTCAGTAAAACGTCCTCTTTTTTCTATAAGATGCTTCAGAGTATCAAGCGAACTTTGTTCATCAGGTTTTAGAGTACATTTTGAATTTTCATTTATAAATTTCAAAAGAGCTTCGTAGTAAATTACTCGACGAAAACGTATTAATTCAGCTTCAATATCCTTTATTTGCTGTTCGGCGAAATTTCGATTTTGTGGTTGTGCAAATAAATAATTAATAATATGATTCAAAGGTGGCCTGAGCTGTAAAATAAAAATCAATCGTATTAAAAACAAAATATCAAGCTAGAAAAATATACTTACTATATTTTCGAATACAATTGTTGACAATGCCTTACGTCCATCAATTAAAAGTTTATCAATTTCATTCAGAAATGTAAGAATATTTTTCATACGAATTAATATACCGTCATTTAAGAAGTAATAAGGACCATATAATCTATTGAAAAATTTCTTGTTTTCTCGAAGGCTAATTTCTTTCCAATTGGCTTCTGTTCGTTTGAAATCTCTTATTAAAAGTATTCGCCGTTCATTGATCTCTTTTTTAGTTTGATTGCCTACGATTTTCTTTTTAACTTGCGCAATTAAATTATGTACGCGATTTAGAATTGGCATATATCGCATACAACGACGAATATTTTGTTTACAACGAGGACATTCCGGAAAACGAATAGCAGTATCTTCCTGTGAATTGTTATATGAATCGTTAACGAATTTATCAAGTGCAGTGACTTCAACTAAATTAAATTATAGTAGATTGGAATAAATGTTAGAATAAATTTTCAAAGAAGAGTAAAACATACTTATATGATTACAATCAGGTAATAGAACAAAACGGGCGTCAGGTTCATCTTCTGTACCAAACAGTATTTCTTGTACAATATTTTTATCACAAATTCGGCATTCCCGAGGACACGGTTCACAACAAATACCAATGCCTATTAAGTTTAATAAATAAAATAATACTTATCGTAATTCGTTCTACTTACAGGTATGACCACATTTTAATTTTTTACGGCATGGCTCATTACATGGGCCACGATTACAGGGTTCCGAACATAAACGAGTACATTTAAGATGTTTGCATTTATAAGCACATGGCTAAATATAAAATATTTTCGTCAATTCGAAGGCGATCGAATTGCATAAAGTATAAAGCGATTATTCTCCTTTGGCTACAAATCGTTCACTATACGATTGTTACTTCTCAAAAGATACATCATTCTTTCTATTTTTATGTACGAACCTCTTTACACGGTGAGCATAATTCCCCACATCTTTTTCTGCATCGTGAATGAAAACAACGTGTTTCACATTCGCGTTCACACGGTGGACAATTCATAGCACATGGTTCTTTACAAACCTAAATAAAACAAGAAAATACAAATCTTCACGTCTTTTTCTTAGAATTAGATTTGATTTACATGCGAACAAATCAATGAACGTTCACATTTTTCTTTACATCGAATATGCAACCGACCAGTATGACAAGTACTACATGTTCCAGCACATTTATGTTCACAGCTAAGCATTGTGTCGCAAGGATTCGAGCAAGAGATGCGTTGTAATTTATATGGTGATGAAGCGATGCGACATGGAACATCGGCTTTATGACCACAAGGAAGTTCTGCGATAACTAGCTGTTTGCAATCATCATTAGTCGGTGTTCGAGCACATTCAAAACGTATGTTATGACCACATGGTGAAATTATTTTTTCCACAATAGATCGACACGAATTGTGTTCATTTCTTGTTACAATAGGACACGGAGCATTGACACTATGGCCACAAGGAAGACATGCCGTAACTAGCTGCTTGCAATCATTATTAGTCGGTGTTTGACCACATTCAAAAAGTATTTTATGGCCGCATGGTGAGATTTCTTTTTCGACCATAACTCGACACGAATCATGTTGATTTGCTGTTGCAGTATGACATTGTTTGGTACATGCATGACCACATGGTAAAGATTCTTGACATTTTTTATAGCAAACAATTTCTCTATGACTGCAAAAACAAAGGGGAAAATTTGAATATTTTTCACTCTTAATAATATGTTGTTTTTGATTTACTCGACATCATAATTATGACACATCAAGTCGCATCGATGTCCACATAAAAGTCGACTATCACAAGGTTTATCGCAACCACCTTCTATTCGTTTAAAAAATGATTGAGGTGTATCAGCTATGTACTTTTCTTTTGGATGTTGACGGCAAGACAGTCCTAAACCTAAAAAATATCGTTTTATTTTTCTTTTATATTTTTAATAAAATGATCAACGGACCTGTTCCTATTTTATTAGTATCCGCTAATGATTTAACTATTTTCTTCCACATATCTTCAACTTCAGCAAATAAATTCATATTCCCAATAACGAAAAGACCACAACGTGCACGTGATAAAGCCACACATATTCGATTAGGTGTTTTAAGAAAGCCTATTTTCTTATCCGTACTACTACGTACCAATGATAAAATAATTATATCATTTTCTTCACCTTGATAATTATCTGTTACCTAAAATGAAACAAAAATAATGGTTGCCAAATCTGAATTAACACAAATACCATTATACGAATACCACGTAGTAGGTTATTAGATTTCGCTTGTTTAGCAATAAATTGTCGTTGACCAAGATACATAACAAGAATAGTAATTTTCTCAGCTGGATAATCTTGTTTTCTTAAATATTGTGCTAAAGCAATAACATAATTTGCTTCGTATTCATTTCGTTTTGAACTTCCATCGGCAACAGTTGTTTCTGGATGTGAATGATTTATAAAAAAAATATTACTATCAACACCACGAATTGATGGCAGATTCTCTTTAACACTTATATGATCTTCCAAATCATCGTAGAAATGTTTCATCAGACATGAAATTTCTGGACGCATACGATGCTTTAGTGATGGAAAAATAAAGAGAGAAAGAAAAATGAATTATTTAATATTTCTATGAATCCTAATGATAATAGAAATAGAATGAGGATGAAAACACGATTCATCCACAGTGCTCCATACTATTTGAAAATCATATCAATGCATTTGAATGAATCATAAAAGCTCAGTGAACATTTTCAGGTTACTTACTTGAATATTCAATCGAACATTTGGAAACTTATTCTTAATCAGACGTTCAAATAATGACACATCCATATTATATTTCGTTGCAAGACGATGCACACTTGGACTAGGACGTAATTGTATATGATCACCGATTAAAATCAAATGTTCACATTTTGAACTTAATGCTGTAATAATATGTGCTTCAAAAATTGCAGCTGCTTCTTCAACAATAACAATTTTACTCTCTGAAAGAAACAATTATTCAATGAATTCCCGAAAAAAAATGCATTATATTTCTCTGCTTACGAAGCCTTTCCAACAGGTCATGATATTTTGCTGCACATGTTGTTGTCATCGCCACTATCAGACTATCTTTTAAAATATAATAATCTGAGTCACTCTTTTCGGCAAGTGCAGATACCGCTTCACTGTATAAAATTCTAGGTTCAAGAACCGAATTATGTAAATATTGTTGATATTTTAAAAGCCAATAACGATATAAATCATAACGGTCCATCATTGAAAGTTTCCAAAGATCACTACGTATTTGTTTAACTGTTTGATCATCCAATGTTGTTGGATTTTGTATGATAAATTTTATTGATCGATCACGATGATCAGCTTCTCTTTGAGCATGATTCCATTGTCTTTCGCGAATACTATTACCGTCATTTCTTCTAGATATTTTTACGTTTGTAGATTCTGATTTTCTTTTGCTACGCATCGTAAACTCGTTGTCATCATCATCAATATCAATTTCACCACGTCGACGTTGTTCTTCTTCCTCTTCTTCGTTAATATATTCTTCATCGATTGATGACTGATAGCTATCGGATGTTATTTTTTGGTTACATTCAATCGTATTTATATTCGGCATCGGTGATTCGAAGTCCATTACGTTGGTCTGATCTACAGCGATTAACTTATATTTAGGAATAATACCAAGCCAGTCGAATAATACTGTTTCATTATTGATGCCAGGATAGGGAGCTCGTAAGGATGCTAGGTGTTTATTTTCAATAATGTTTCCACCGACAAGTGATGATAGTGATATGATATCTGTGCGTGATTGTTCTATTTCATTTTGGTAATTTTCTAATTCTTCTTCAGCGTCTTTCTTTCTATCTAAGAAAACATGCCTTTGATGATAAATATGACTTGGAATTGAACGATTTTCACGAGCACGTTGATGAGCATTACGTAATGAAAATTTTTGAATAGCTGGATTTTTACATTGACTACCAACACGAATAACACCTGAAAATCCATCACTATTAAATTACTATTTTATAGAAAATTCAATCATTCAAACCGTCATTTATGTTGAGACGTTCTATAATTAATTCTAAAAATTGATCAAGTGCATGATTTGTATGACATATCATTAGAATGGGTGTTGATTGCGCGCCTGGTGGACACCATACTGATCGATTATGTAGAAGCATTTCAGCAATACGTACGCCAAGATATGTTTTTCCTGTTCCTGGCGCTAAAAAGAAACATATTACTCTCCTTTGCTCCGCCGTAAGATCTATTATTAGCAATTAATTATGATTCATAGAGACGATGATGCTTTTCTTATTTAAGTTTACTTACGTCCTTGAATAAGTGCCACTTTCTGTGTTAAAGCTAGCATTAAAGCTTCATGTTGCTTTGGATTAAGATGTAATTCATCACTTGTTGGCCATTGATTTGTATCAAGTAATGCGACCGATTTATATTTGGCTGGTACCTGATTCGATTGTTTATATGTAATGCTAAATGATACTCGCTCAAATTTAGAAAGAGTCGAATTTACTGGAGAATCTGGATCAACAAGAAGAGGAGTGAAATCATAAACTGTTTCTCGTCGAATATAATCAGGTGGAATTTTTTCATTAGTTAATTTAAGTAAAAATGGTTCAAGAGGAAATGTTTTAGTAATATCGATTGATTGTAACGCTTTGAGAACTGGACGATAAGCTTCAAAATACGTCGTCGTTTCAACCATTGTTAATACATGTGAAAAGGCAATCTCATCAAGATCACCTTCTGTTTGCTCAGTCCTATTAATTCGTTCCAATACTTTGACCTGGTGTAATTGAAAAAGACAGTTAGACAATCAGATAATTAGTTAAAAAAATTACCGATATAGTAAAGTTCGTTTCAATATTTGATCGATCTTCAACAGTCGCAAATATACACGAGTTAAATCGATTATAGCTGAGAACCAGTAAATTGCCAAACATTAATCTTTGACTATTAGCCCAAAATATTTTTGATGCCACCTTAGGATCCAAACGCAGATCATACACGATACCATTTCGTGGCGTTAATCGTGGACCATGTGAACGAACATTTTCATATATTCGTACGTTGAAATTTTTGCCTTCGACATTATGTAAATATTGGTCAATGCCGTCACGTAATGGACCAAGAAAATCTTCACGCAGAAGACGAAAATGAATCTTAAGAAATAATAAAATATATTTTTCGTTTACGAAAAGAAGAAAAGGCAATACGTACATCAAGATACTGGCGAGGATTATCATAAACACCATCGACAATATTTTTTCGGAGATACGTTGCTGTTCCTGATAAAATTTCTTTTACATCAGGAACGATGTTCAATTGACGATAATCATCTGGTGGTGGATTCTTATCTTCATAGTCCATATTATGATTAGTTTTTTGTTTCTTTGGTTGTTGGCGATCTTTTATTTCCTTCATGCGTTCAAGTACTTCGTCAAGTATTGCTTTCGTTTCTTCATACTCCTGAAAAGACAAAAATCAATTAAAAAAATTCTTACCAAGCTTGCCTTACAGGTGATTTGATTTCAATTTTAGTAAATAATAACTCGATGCGTTCAAATATTTTCGTTAAACCACCTGCCGAATGAGGTATCATAGATAGAAATACGTTGGACACTTTAAGAAATGATTGAATAAAAGTAAAACGTAATTGATTAGTTGTCAAATCTGTTTCACCAATTTCATCATAAACACCTTCAAGGTATCGCGATTGAGATATTTGTCCAAAAATCATGACAATACGTTCACGTGATTCTATACATTGTGCAATTTTTTCAAGTAAAATTGTCATTGAATTTATCCAATCATATCTTCTTTGCATACGATTATCATTCAGAAATCTTCGTAATTGAAAGTCAGGATGAAGCATTTCGGCAAGAATCTCATTGGGATTTTTCGAGCGTAACTTTGTCAGTGTCTCAAATGTAATAGACGGCGGACATCGTTGTTTAGTTGATCTAAAAAATTCTTTTGGCTTCATAAATTAAGATTAAGAAAAAAACCCAACAAGCTACATACGAATTTTCAGTTGCTGCGTTTGTATTTGTTGAATTGGTAGCAACTGAGTAGGGTCTCTGAAACGAACGTGTATTACTATAACTATTCGTAGGCGTTGATGTTGTAGCCTGGAGATTATGATTATTGATATTACGTTGTGGAAAATAATTGTTAGAAGTTGATGACTGCCCTGAACCTCTGGTAGTAGAATCATCCCGCTTTCTTTTGTCATATTGTCTAAAATAATTTTATAAATGACTTTTTTTCTAAGGCTGATTACATTTCTAAGATGCATAAATACCTAATCACGTGAGCAGTGCGATTCACTGGTGTATGCTGTGAACGATTTAAATCTTGAGTCGTCCGTGATGAAATATTGAATCTTTCACGACGATTCGACCGATCCCTACTGCTAGAAGTACTGGATGGCCAGTGATGACCATAACGAGTATTCGACATTGGCGAAATATATGGATGAACTGTTTTGTTTAGAAGCTGGCTTTTACAAAATATGTAAATATCAATGAATGTCGCATTGTTTTATCTGACGTTAAATAGAAGCAAGCATTGGGTATTTTTGCATGCCGACAACTTATGAAAGATACGTCAACATGAAGAAAACAAAACAGGACGCGTATAAAACTTACAAGACAACAAACATACTGACAGATTTCATCTAAATTTTGCTTTGTGCTAATACGTCAGACGTAAATGAGTCAAAAATAAAATATTCTCTTCAAGTATAAATAATAAATAATAATTTAATGGAATGTGCGGCATGAATTTTGCTTTCTGGCAATTTGCTTCTTTTACTGGCTCTCAATTTTGAAATAGGCAAAAAACAAAAAATATCTTGAAATTAATCTACTCTGTTTGTAGACATGCCGATTTTGTTTTTCTTGTAAAGAAATATTTTTTTTAATATTTAGTCACTATTAGGAAAGTATCATTATTCCGTGAGTCATAATACATTTAGGTTTGTAATCAAAATTTTCTAAAGAATTTTCAGATTGCGTTTTTAAGTTGATAATACTTTTTTTATGGGAAATCATTCATTTTATTTTATGTGCCCTAAGTATACATCTGGCCACATTCTCATGAAGAACCTATTGATTTTATGCATAATTCTTAGTGTACATGATATTTATCAGTTGTCTATTTCAATATGATTTATATAGGTGTTGGTGCTACTTGATTCATTTCATGAATATTTGATTTACTTCTTTTGCTACAAAAAGAAGATTTAAGCCATGTAATTAGAAGAATAACTCCAGATATGCCTATAGGAATAGTAGTACCTAAAATAATAATAAGCGTTTGGGAATTCGACATGGGTTGTTGATCGGTAACGGTTGACGTCATATGAGAAAGATTTCTTATTGAAGTTAGTTCAATATTTTCAGTGATTTTATTCGTTGACGTTGTTTCCATGGTTGTTGTGCTTGAATTTTTTACAGTAAAAATAGTGCCTGGCATGACTGTGGTAGCAAGCTAAAAGAAAACAGAACACGAGTGTTAGAAAAAAAATTAAAACTATTTTAGTACGACATGCATCATTATTGTTTTCTAAAAATTTCAAGCTTCATCTTGTAAATAGATTCCTTTTTTTTGTTGTTATCAGTTCTGTATGTTTTAAAAATTGATGATTCAATAATCTTACTCGTGAGTTTAGAGTTTATTAACGACAATAATTATTAAAAAGTAGAACGACATCAGTGAAACGAAACTACTCCTAGCAGAGGCTTTGATTGCTATTTCTGATGATAGCATGTGTAAAATATGTATCTTACCATTGTTGATGTTGCCTGAGTGGTGATCATTGTAGATGTTGTTGCTCGAGTGATGATCATTGTAGATGTTGCTCGAGTGGTGATCATTGTAGATGTACTATTCAACACAATTTATAACACAAAATCACAGCTCAAATATCGACAATGTAGAATTTTTATATTTTAACCTGCTTGTAAATTGACCTGTATCCATTTGTGTCGAAGAAATCACCTTCAAAAAAAATATTTTTTCATTTAGTATTGATGATAAATTCAAACGTAACAAAAAAAAATATATTTGCTCTATTCCTGAAAGAATTTAAGAAAACAATGTCAGATAAAACGAATAGTTTACTTATGCAGTATATCTGCAGATTTCACACTTACCGATGTAATGGTTTCCTCGCTGATGATTGTCGATGTATTGGTAGTAATCTAAAAGATTGAAATTCTTTAAGTTTTCGTAGGTTTAGAACTATTACTGTAGATGATTCCATTGTGATTGCCATTGATGTTTCTGATTCACTATGATAACAATAAAGAAGAATAGGTATAGGATAATAATCAGAATACACGTTTAACGTTACGTAGTTGGTATAGAAACAGTTGATGTTGATACTTCATTTGTTGTACTTTGAGTGATGTATGCGTCAGCTAAAACACATATTTATTTTATATAAATTATTAAAAATGCAACTCTACCTACAACAGAGACCTTGATGGATTGAAATTTCGTCAATTCCAAACGAAGGTAAGATACCAATGGTTTTCTGAAAGTCAAAATAAATCTAGAAGAAAAGAAATATTTTGTTTAGCATTGAAACTTCAAGCAACCTCTAAAAAACGTCTCACCATATATTCAGATTGTCTTGCTTGAAAATCGATTTTTTGCTGTGTCCATCCATTGAATGGACTATTTGTAACAGAATCGATGATTTCAGTTGTAGAATCATTCTCTACTTTGCGCAGTGTAATACTCATTTGAATATCAACACTGTCGGGTATGTAATAATAATAAATAATACATTGTTCATTTATTCCATTGATACCACCTGTGCCAGCGTTAAGAGGAATAGAGTAGACATTTGTATTGAACAATTGTACATGTCCGAATCGACCTAAAATAAATATTTGTTTACAGATTCAAAATATATTTGATATCGATGTTTTGAATATACTCTGCAATTACCTGATGCACATTTGCTTTTGGGGTTTGTTGCTGTTTCACAATAATCTTCGTTACAGAAATGCATATCCCAACTGTAGGGGTTGACTCTATAGGGTAGTTTACATAATTCACCATTTTCTGTAGGTGTAACTTGAAAGAAAAAAACATTACAAGTTCAAGTCAATCATAATTTATCTCACTTATTGATGTTACATCTGATAAAGGGCCCTTTGGTGGATTAGAGTCAACGGTATCACCAAGAGTGGAAACAACCACCACATCACTGTTAAAACAAGGATTCAACTCAAATTTGTCAAAATTACATTCGAGCAATATTTTCGGCGAAATTATGTTTACGCAACTATAAACTAAATGGAAATATATCTTAAAATATGTTGTGCGACTTTATTATTTAAAATCTTACCAATCAAGAAAATAGTTACTTGTCGCACCATTTTATTTTATTTAACTCTTAATACTATAAGCAATTCACATTATCTCTCGTTTAAGAAAACAAAAACAACATCTTTTTCTCTTTGACTGTCAGCATAAACTTATTTTCGTCTTATCTTTTTTTGCCTATTATACACGAAAAGATTGTAAACCTTCATATAAACTAAAGCATAGCACTTTATCTAGCTTTTTAAGATGATACTTTTACGTAATTGTTGATTAGTTGTACTGTCTGAATCAATAGCACGCATCAAGGAAAAATGATTTTGTAATGATTTAAATTATTTTCTTATAACATCCCTTTTATCTCATGAAATGATTGAAGGTGATAGAAATTAAAATTATTGGAATACATTTGAATTTTCTTCGTATTTTTTATTTCAATTAGTTAATTTCGATGAACACTTATTTATATAGAAGCCTAGAAATCAAAATGAAATAGATCGATCTGTCAAGAAAAAAAAACACTTTGTAAATTATATAGATTGAGAAACCATGATCAGATGTATGATATTTGTTCTGTTGATCATCGCGGCATTCTCTTTGAATTCATGGTTCATGACCATTACGGTAGATTCTAGTGTATAACGATGACCAGAGATTTAACATTTGACAAACAGAATCTCTCAGTTTCTATAAAAAAACGATTATCCGAAGCTAACTTTTCGCTAATGAGAACAGAACTCTATTCATTTATAAAATTAAATTCAGTTTGAACGATTTCCAACCGGCCCGATGGTGATCGAATTAAGTATCAATCGAAACATGTTGTATGCAACCTGAAATTACAGATTTTGAATACAATTACATGCACTATAATCCGAATCAATTATGACTAATGGATCCAGGAGATTGTTGGCAAGTGAGTCTTTTGTTCACTCACATTCCGAATTCGAGGAATCTTTTTTTTTTCTCTCAGTGAACTCTTTCACGATTCTTTTTTTTGACTATTCCCATTTATATTCGAATTCGAATCAGATATCTGCAACAGAGAAGGCTCTGGTTGCTATATTTCGCGCATCGGTTTATTGTAAGAAGAATGTGCCAACGTGATTAAGAGACATGAGAGGATAATAGAAACATCACCGAGAAACTGTTTATTGCGAGTAAGGATCAAGCCGAATTTCAAGAGACTTTCAAACAGAGCATACAAATGAAATATGAACTAAGATTGCCGCATTACGGTAAAAGAGAGATTTGTGTCATTAGTGGGCTTGTTATTATGCATTTACTTCCGTTTATATATTCCAAATGTTATCGTTGACCAAAATGCTTCTTCCTGACCACTCAGACCTCGTCCATACCGACACCAAGTTACAAAGTGCTCACAATTGTTACAAAGAACATGATAGGGATAAGGATATATGTTAACACATTTGCGAGCACGTTCAACGATTTTATTCTCTGGTAAAACTTCCCATTGCTCATCTTTGAAATTATTGATTCTTGCCACACCATCACTCTGAAGTACATTGTGGAAAGATTCTTCTGTTATTTTTGCAAATGCAGTCTGGCGTCCAAAAGTTATAATCGTTACCATAGCTGACATGAATTTATCCATGAACGTATTGCCGAAATCTCTAACTGTCGCCTGAATAACTTTATCATTACCAATATAGATTGCCCAATGCTCATAATCTATTCGGTGATATTGAATCATATCTCCAGGTTCTGCATCTCTCCATACGTGTTTTATAACATCATACAATTGCATATTACTAGGATTAGTATAGGTTGCATGTGGTACTCGATCATTGAAGTTGCCCATAATAATTATTTTCTTGTTCTGGCAAAATAAATAGATGATCAGTGTCTAAAACAAAATCTCTTTATATATCACTGTGTCGTACCTGTCACTCATTCATCATAATCGAACTTTCTACGATAACTGCGAGAGGGTCTTGGTGGATTTTATTGAATTTCTAGAGTAATCCGACAATTTCTGTCAGAAGACGCAGGAGCTCCTCGGAATTTTTGGCAAAAGATTCCGATTCAAACCTGTTAAATTAGAAACTGAATATCAGATATTCTCTGATATATCACGCTGCATCTTCTATATAATTACACCCATATTAAGGGTGTGGGTATGGGAGCAATGTAACAGAATAAAGACTCATACACCCAAACGCATACCCTTGATTGCTATTTGAGCTTAACTAATCGTGTTTTGAGCTAATTGTTGATCGATCTTGATAAGTATCATAATAATTCAAATTATTATGGGTGTGGATGTGGGTAGGCACATTTTCTATTCTTCTACATCTACAACTAACGAGTGGTAATAACACGATGATAATTCAATTCCGGAATCGGACGGAATTCTAGGAATGCCGTGAAATTGGTAGGAACTGGTTCCAGGAATTCCAGTTACTAGAGACGAACGGTGGAAATAGAAGTTTGCATTGCAGGAACTGATTCCTGGAATTCATTCTGTGCTCGGAACTGGTTTCTCAATGCTCAACATCGCGAAATAGAATGTATTCTCGATTGAAGTTGGAATATGGATTGAGTCGAAGTATAGGAAATGATAGACAAGCTATTGGGTACCAAGTTGAACATCCGACTATCAATCTATGACCTGAATGCCGATGATAATTCGATAAACCCGAGGGGGAATTGGTCGTATGATTTTCGGGTAAGAAGCATGAGTGAACTGATAAGATTGACATATTAGTCAATTCCGATGAATTTTTCGATACTTAAAAATCAAGTAGGATGCAACATAGGAGTGTACATCTTACGCTCATGAGCGTGAGCGGTATGCTCCTAATTATTATTACTTTTATTATTTATTACGAGTAATAAAGTTTAAAAAATTGAAACTAATAAAAGCAACAACTGATAGGTAATAACGTGTAATAATTATTACCGTAATAAATACCGACCCAAAGATATTACTTAGCATTTTTTAGTATCTATCCAGAAGGATTTCGTATAGCTACTTGCGACCTACCGGGAGATCGTATTAGAAACTTCCAGGATCAGACCAGAACTGGCCCCTATAGCTATTAGAAGCCTACCTATAGGTGATACTCAGAACCTTTTAAGAATCACATAAGGGTAATACTCTTATAAGCGTTTTGAGCCTGCCAAGGGTGGTACTTAGAAATTCTAAGGACTCAGTCAGAGGAAGTAATCAGAAGTTTTAGGACCTACCCATGGTTGGTCCCTTTAGCAATTTGGGATCTACTTACAGATGATACCTAGAACTTTCAAGAAACTACCAAAGGGCGGTCCTGTACCTTTCTGAACCTACTCCAGGATGGTAACTAGAACTATGTGAGAACTTCCTACCCAGTCAGACAAGTAACGAAAAAAATCGACGTTTTTATGCGTAAAAAGTTCACATTCTAATGCGTTTAAAAAAAAATTATTTTGACTAAAAACAAGTTTGAAAGCATTAACATGTATCGATTCGTTTTTTTCTCACAAAAAAGTATTTTTTTAACGTGTTAAAATGTGTGCTTTTAACGCATAAAAACGTCGATTTTTTCCGTTACTGGTCTGACTGAGCAGGGCTGATCTGTGAAACATTTTAGTACATATATAGTGGCATCCCTTGTATTCTTTTGCGCAGTTTGGGAGGGAATTCTTATAACTTATTTAGTCGTAACTAGGGATAAGCCGAGACCAACACTCATCAATACTGGAACCAAGGCTAACCACGAACAAGAGAGAGAGCGAGACCAAAACCTCGACCACAACGACTGAGACGGAGATGGAAAGTCACGGTCTGGACATAACCCTATTCGTAACTATTGGTAGTTTCTATAACTTTTTCAATCCCATATAAGCATCGTCCCTTTAACGTGTCACTCTGTGCAGCAGTGATATCTTCAAACTTGAAGTACTATCCTTAGCGGTCCCGAAAAATTCATAAGGACAGCCCTTAAGTAGATCCAAAATGGCTAAAGGAACTATTTCAGTGTAAATCCACAAAATTTACGGGGACCACCTCCAGGTAGGATGTAAAAGTCACAGGGATCATATCTGGATAGGATCTAAGGGATTGAAGGGGTTACCCTTAATTACGGCCCAAATGATACTAGTGATTAAATGCAAGTAATCTAGCGATTGTGGAAAAATCAGTGAATAGAACTGTTTCAACAGTTCTTTCTTTCATTTGATTTGAACTACGATCTGAGACCTGTTGTAGTCCTAGTGGTGAGAAAGTAGAAATATATCGATAAATAGAAGTGATTCCACGATCAGGTTCTTTATTGCTTTATTTCTTCCTTATTACTGGTAATAGTAATGTGCTACCCCTACTAGACATATATAATAAGATCCTATCTTTGTTCCTTGGTAGTTTGCGGTAGTAAGATGAGCGTGTTTAAGAAACAAACATTCGAAAACTATGATTTTCCAAACTTTAATGAGCCTATTCTAGCGCTTATTGTCAATTCATCGAGTAACAAGTATTTAGATGCATCAATTGAATATATTAGATACGAAACTGTTTGAAATACTATAATGTATTTTTATATGAATATAGCTAAAGTGGGTTCATTATTAATGATTTCTTGCATATTCTATTTGAAGAAGAAACGCTCACGTTTATCAGCACTCATGACCGTGAGCTGCGCACCCCTAATCCAGCAGGATCCATGTTTTTTACATTATTTGAACATTGCTGTAAAGCGCATCAGTTTTTGGTGCATTGTGGTAGACTCCGACGTATTTAGTAGACTGAAGTAGTTTCTAATAGACTTCCACACACTCCAGTCAATCTGTTGTGCAATCTAATACGCTTTATTAGGAGTAACAGGATCCGCTTTTTCCATCTTGGATAAACCCCTTATGAAATTCGGTGAGATTCTAGTAGATTCCGATAGGTTCTCTTCGTAGGCCATCGAATACTGATGTAGGATTGAACCACATGGGTAAATTAAAATAAATCAAATAAAAACGAAATTACAATGAATAAAATGTCCCAGGACGAGCTTTACGACGTCCGGATACGGTGAAATACGGGCCGTATACGACGGTAAATCGCCGTATTTGGCCGTATTACATGGCTCCGTATTACGATCGTAAATCTCCGTGTCGTAATACGGTGAAATACGATCAAAAACGACCGTAAAGCGCCGTATTTCGCCGTATACGGCACGGAGATTTACGATCGTAATACGGAGCCATGTAATACGGCTAAATACGGCGATTTACCGTCGTATGCGACCGTGTATGCTCGACCTGGGGTAATAAAAAGGAAACGTGCTGACTCATCACTGATTGAATTAAGAACAGAGTCCAATCTGCAACAAAAATATCTTCAATGATATTTACAAAACACGATGACAGAATAGATAAAATGAATATCTCATTCTGATTGGTCTAATTTACATTAGTGTACTTGAGCGTGGGTAAACACGTGCTAAGTTGTACATTCAAGTTTTATTGACTTGTTCATTCAACAAGTTCCAGCATACACTCAACAATAATAAAATAAAAACTAAAAACAATAAAAGGACCACAGACTACTAATTTCAATAGTATGCAATGAGATCAAGCCTACACAATGATATATGTGGAGGACAATAAAAGAGAACGCCATCTGAATAGATGGTGCTGATGATCTGTGTATGAATACGGGCCGTAACAGGACGCTGCGCTCAATTGAAATAACTGAATAACATGAAATAAAATATTTTAATATACTCAATATAGCATGTACATCAAAGATGTACTGTGGATCGTAATAATCAATTCTATTAGCAAGTGGTCATGCCCATTTTGGATTAATTTTTGTCATCCCCAGCACATCTCTGATACATATATAATAAAACAGATAATATTCTAAAACAATAAAAATAAAAGGGAACTAATATAAAATTGAATGAAAAGTGGTTTTGTAATTTGAATAAAGTAAATTTTATTGGAATAGATGTAAAGCTGCATATGATGTCTTGCGACTGCTGCTTAGACACATTCATCATTATGTACGTTCGAAATCAAAGTACTACATCAATTGAAAATAGACTGACCTATCTCTTGAAGAAAAGAAAAACTCAATCTGCTGGTCTGAACTATTGCTTTTCAGCAATCGATTTAATCAAAAATATAATATATAAAAGTGTGCTTTGATTAAAATAATTAAAGAAATGCAGAGTTTAATTTGTCGACGTATTTCGTATGTTTTCGAAGAGAGTACTCTTTATAGCTACATGCCTGAAATAAAAATAAATGATGAGTTACTTATGTTCTTCACTTTTCATTTGGACAGAAAGAAATAACTGAAAAATCATTGATGAATATGAAGTATTTATTAGCTGTAAAGCTCATGCAATTTGACTACTATACAGAAACAAAATAAAGAACCGCATAGCATTTAAGTGAAGAAATCAGGTGTTTTAGTCATGAGATTTTTGCTCAGTCAGCGGAGTGACTATTGGTACAATACTCTGTATAATCGCCTTCAATAGTTGCGCATGATAATTTTGAAAACGTGGATTGACTCGTGGGTTCCTCTGGATAATTCATGTTTAGTCTGTCCTGTACAATAGGTGGCTGAAGGTTTTGCCAGTTGTGCTCTGGTTGTTTGTTTTCTATTTGATTTTTGTCATAACGTTGAAAAGCATATTTAATGAAATAATTACAGGATCTCAATTTCACTTGAAATGTGCAAAAGCAATTGTTTGCATGATGATGATAAAATGTGACAAAATTAAAATGATATCTCGCCAACTATTCCAATCGGGAGGTGTGCTTGAATAATTTTTAGAAACAGGTTCTTTTAATATTATTGGTAGTTATTGAATGTTCAAAATATTATTGATCATTGTTCGGAGATCGTCAATCTTTGTTGGCTGATCGTTGCTTGAATTGCTTTAATATCTACACTACTAGTATTATCTCGTTATTGGTGATGGTTTACCTCCTATATCAATCGGAGGGGCTACTGAATACCACATTAGAAAATTGAAAAGAGCTGAATGGTGGAGAATCTTTGACATTTCTTATGTATATGAAATATAGAAAGAGATAATATGAACCTCAGGGTGTGGGTGTGGGTGTGGGTATAAATGAAAAATGTTCACACTCACACTCTTCCCTTATATATTGATAGGGGATATCTATCTACTAATCAATATCAGCATAGAACTATCCCAGATAAAGCGACATCTATTATCATAACGAAAATTATTGTTCTTGCATTTATTACTTAAAACCAAAGATTATTGATATAATTATACAAACTAATTTCATCATAGTAAGGAAAATCTCGAGAGTAGAGCCAAGGAAACACAAGTTCCTCGTTCATTTGTTGGTACGATAACAAGGAATTTTTTCTCTCTTTTTTTCCTTTTATCGCTTAGTAATAGTAATGACCTAATACATGAAAAAGATGATACATTTACATGGAAGAAAATACTGTTTCTTTAATTTTGTTTTTTCAGCTTGCGCGAAGATGATCATTTTTCATTGTTGAGTTCCCTTATCATGCCTGAAACATATATCGAATTATTCATCACAAAATACTCGCTTGTTCTTATTCAAATGATTATCTATTTTTACAATCAACAGAAAACAAATGGACTGGATTTCAAACTCGACATTGCAACAGGACATGGATCGGTGCATTGCTAACGTCTTGCACAAAACTCTTTTGAGCCATTCGATAACCCTAGATCAAAATTTGTCAGATGATTATCATGCTATCAAAAGCATCACTTCTTAACAATCAAATATTATTATATTAAAATCATTTAAAACTAATTATTGAAATCGTAACCATTGTGAGAGTTTAAGTAATTGTTAAAGTACAACCAGAATGCTGCTATTGTTAGTCCCAATGTGTCACCGAGAAAAATTTAAGCTTATATTTAATCTAGGCGTTTCGCTGAAATGTATTGTTTGCATCATGAATACAATGAACTATCACTCGAGAAAAGTAAGCATACACATAAATCTACCGATAAGAAACGTGCCAACCATGTCAAATACTATAGAGCACGATGTTCCATCCGCTTGAGTACACCACTTGGCAGAGCCATCTTGCGTTGCCCAAAGCCGATGAGAAAATCAGTAAACCAGTCAGGTGCCATCGAAAGAGGAAAGCAGAAAAGACTTGATTGCCAACCGGGTCGGTAACGAATGCGTGGTTTCGAGCTCGATACTGCATGGCACACTGCACTAACTACTTTCATTGGATTATCCGCTGTTTGTGTCGTCATTTTTGTTCCCTCGGCAACCCAGTCTGAAAAGTAGGCTTCACCCCAACGCGCCTTAGCTTCATCATCAGTACGATTGATCCAAGCAACTCGCATTTTCTCTGCAATTCCCTCAATAATCGGCGTACGCATGAAACCAGGCTCAATAATAGACACGTGCAAAGACCACGTGACCATTTCTCGACGAAGGCAATCAGAAAACGCTTCAAGTGCATACTTTGAAGCACTGTAAGCTGAAGCTCCGGCCGCCGCCAAGTAACCTGCAGCCGAACTCATGTTTACCACGCGTGAGTTCGGTTCCACGAGTAACAGTGGCAAGAATGACTTTGTCATAGCTACATGACCGAAAAAGTTCACTTCTAACACTTGACGTATGGATGCAAGTGAGATCCAGTCGATGAGTCCACTATCGCCAATGCCAGCATTGTTAATGAGGGCATGTAGACTTGATGTCTTGCTTCTCACCAGAGTTAAAGCAGTGTCAATATCTTGCTGACAGGTAATGTCTAATAAGAAAACAGTAGCGCGCGGGGAGAGTTGATCGGTGAGCGTTTTTTTGTTGTCGGCGTTATACACACCAGCTAGTACATTAAAGCCTTGTTTATCGAGTTCAACAGCAAGGCTATATCCAAAACCTGAATCACACCCAGAAATCAAGACATACTTGCCCCGTGGATCAATGCTAGGCGTTGGAAATAAGTGTTTGTAGAGCCGATAGATGATATAAGAAACCGGTGCAATAGCAATCAGTGAAAACATGGTTAGTATCTAAATGCAAATATATGATTTTTTTCTATGCGAAGGATGAAAAGCGTATCAACAATGATACTGCAAAAAAAAATATACGAATAAACGCAAAATGTTTTTCTCTTTGTTGTTCTCCTCCGACAACACTCTTCTAGCCTTTTTTCTTATCGTTGTTGGATGAAAAGAACAAGAAGAAATATAATAAAGAGAATTACATGAGGACGTCATCCATGTGCGTTTGTTGATGGCAACTTTTATGAGTCAACAGTACGTCAGTGAGTTGACAAAATAATGCTAATGGCAAACGAATCGATGACAGATTCAGATTGTACAACAGAGACAACCAAAAGAAAACAGCACTATATAGCGACCACTTTCAAGCCATAAATAACCACTGCTTACATGCATTGAAGGATTGTATGGTGAAGACATTATTGATGATGGTGTAGATGTAAAGAAGTGTTACTCTTATGCCTCTATATCCTCACCCACACCCAAATAAGACATTTTCCATAACATTTAGTAACACAAAATGTCAGAAGTTGTAAGAACGATAAATGGAATGTACGAGAAAGTAAAAGCTGAAGTTAATTTTTATATTCTTCCCTATTATAAGCGAAGTGTAAACTGCTTGAAGTTAGATAGTCGAATATTGGATTGATCGATTAAAGATAATTAAACAATGGAAAAGTTATTTCTAAATTTTCCAATTTGTAAAACTTAGTATCCAATTGTTACAAGCATGATTGAGACGTCGCATAATATTTTAAAGTATATATCGTACAACGTTATTTAAATGTTGGTTCATCTCTTGAGGACAAGTTGATTTCCCGATTGCACATTATTTACGAAATAGTTATCATAATCAACGCTTTGCTTTATTTTAAATATTATAAATAATTCTTTTCAATTACATAAAATACGAGAGAAATCTGTCGGATCAACCAATCAAACATTAACGCTTAATGATGTAACACAGTTCTAGATGAATATTGAATAAATGTGAAAAAACTTTTTTTTTTAAATAATGTAAATAGAAAACTAAAATTTCCTTGTTGATATTCAAAAACTTCTTTTCAATTTAATCAATGAAGTAAAACAACAATATCAATTTTTTCAATGTGGAATTCGTAGCTGTTGGCAGAGTTTTGTTGAGAAAATGTTAGAGTGAAAGTATATCAAGAAACAGAGAATACATTTGTATTAGAATTTGATTAAAAATGAATGATTATGAAACCAACCAGGGATAGCTATGTGTCTTCTTCTATGCCTGGAGTGAAAATCGGATATGGGTGCTGTGGCAAGAAGTACGTCCCTCACATAGGACTAGATTAAATAGGGGGTTATAGAAACCACTGGGCGTACAGTCATAAGTCATAGAATTAATGAACATATAGTCGTGACGCAACTGGACTTATAGTGCTAATGGGCATCCTTGTATACGATGACACATAATCATCCACTGAATAATACGTAATCCTTCCCTGTATCCTTTTCTCCCTATATATCTTTCTCTCTGTGTATCTTCTTTCTCACTATTTCCTTGTCTCGCTCTCATATTTATATTTTCCTTATTCTCTCTCGGATATATAAGCTCGAGATATATACGAGAGTTGAGGTCAGTTGAGTTCAGAGAGCAGTTGAGTTCGATTTAGTTCTAAACAAGTCAAGTTAGAAGAAAGTCGTGCTTTGTAAAACGTACGATTGTATTCGGTTGTATTGAAAGACAACACACAGAACTCATTTTGGACAAGAATAAACTTATTGTGTGGAATTGTTGTTAATGCTATACACACAGTGGCTAATATATATATATATAGCTGATACTGATCCACACTTTGTTGTCCATCATCCTATCAGGGTATAAACGCAATTCTATATATCTCGATAGTTATTCGAAGAATATTTACGCGACTTAAATATTTTTCCGTTATAGGTGGATCCATCGGAAATCGTCAGCCGATTCGGTGACTATGACCGATTTTATTAAAACCTTCAGAATTTGTAGAGAATTTGGGTGTGGGTGTGTATTAGGAAATGATTATTACCGATTCCACGCCTACGCCTACGTCCATACCCACACCCCTATTTAGTTTATTTAATATAGTATGTGGCTCTAACGATACCTGATGAGTACTATGTAAGCAATTGTCGAAAAGCGTCCTATTCAGCTTTGAATCTATCAAAATGGAGTGTTTAACATACCCACACTCATACAGAGTTTCTCTTTTTATTGATAATATCAAAAGGTTTATTCCATCCTGAGTTAATATTTTAACTATGAGTAGCTCTCGTTATTGTAGATAAAGTTGTTTTCTTTCTGCACTCACACAATGTTTCTCTTTTATGTTGATGATATCACAGGGTTTATTGCATCGTAAGTTAATATTTTCACCTTTAACTTTTTCCAACATCACTAATTCTTTTTTATTTGTTCGGAAAAAACCTGCTATTTGCTCTTAAATAAAAGCACTTTTAATGTGTCAATTAGAGGTTGGCCATTAACATTAATTTAATATTAATGTTAACGGAAACATTCATCATTGAAACGTGACCAAGTTTCCAGGAGTCGAGAATTCTTCGGGAATTGGGAACTCAAAAATAAATAAGCGACAATGAGCGATGTGAAACTAAAACACGTCAAGCATCTTATGGACTCCAAGGAACTCAGCGAAGTCAGGGAATCCAAGGAATTCAGGGATGCCAGGGACTTCAGGAACCCACGATACAATGTAAGTGTAGGTATGAAGGAAGGTAGTAGAAGACACTCACGCACCATACCCACACACACCCACAAACCCATAAACGCCCTGTCTATTATGTCAATTATTGCCATTGTGCATCATGCCGATTAAGTACATCATACCCGGTATACTCAAGGTCCGATACAAGCAAATTGAGTACAGGCTCTTACTTCACTCTTATCCTTGACTTCCCTGAGTTCCTCGGATTTCCTGACTTCCCTGAGTTCCTTGGAATCCCTCATAACGTTGCTATGCTTTAGTTTATCATCACTTGTTCCAGCTAATTCATTTTTGAGTTCCTAATTCCCAGCGAATTCCCGACTCATGGGAATTTGGATAGTGCTGTCCATCTGATACATTATGCCAAATATGTTCAAGGTTTTAAAAGCAAAGAAACTTCGGTAATTTCTTTAATTTTCTAGTAATTCTAAAATCTTGCAGGTGTGGTGTAGATACATGACGAGATTATCCACACCCACACCCTTTTTTACATTGTAGATTATGTTCGTACGTAACATTTGCTACTGCTGACATATTGTTGAAACGACTGAATCTATTTGGTTCATCCAAAAAGTAAAAATGTTTTGTTCCAGTTCTTCCTCAGAAGCGTCCAGATCTGGATCATCACTTACTCTTCAATCTAAATTGAAAAGAATCTGGCAACGAATACGATATTCAAATTTTTTATTGGCAAGTTTAATAGATATTGATGATGGTATTAAAGGCATTAATGGTCGTACGTTCATTGCCGATGAGATTCAAGTAGAAACAGAAAATATTATGAAGGAATTGGGAGCACCAATTAAACTTCAACTTTTACGGGTGACACATAAATTTTATATTCATTTATTCTCTGAAAATGCCAATATATGGTCAAGGTTGCGCTCAAATGACGATGATGAAGAAGCTGTCAATATTACTATTGAACCAGAAGAAGAAGAAGTACTGCTAAATACTTCCACATTAGATTCAGATAAATCAGACACTTTTGAGCAAAGTACATTGAAACCTAAAAATTGGCCAGGTACTGTTTATTCGACAGTTAGAGCAGCATTGGAGAATTTTTGTATTGCGCCTCGCTATAGTAAAGAAGTTTGTGCACTTTATTCTCCATTATCAACAATTGATAGGACTCTCTCGATTTCTGATGGGGAAGTACTATGTATAAAAAAATATCGATCAGCAGCACTTGGCTGTGTGACCTCATTTTATCATTTTGGAGTGTATGTTGGAAAGATGACAACCAAGGATGGTCGCAATTTATCAGACGCTGTAATTGAACTTGTTAAAGACCACACAACTCAAGATATCAGCATTAATGCTGTTCCCCTAGTTGGAACAGAGAAGGGCGCGTGCTTTGTTTTAGAAAAAACAGAGAATGGACGTCCATCATTACTATTCAAGGCTAAATATCGCGGACGAACACAGGAACAGAAAAATGAAACTGCAGTTAGAGCATTAGGTATCTATGAAAATTCACGTGAATACCAAAAAAAATATAGTACCGTTAAAAATAACTGTGAACATTTCGTAAATATCTGTGCTTTCGGTACTGCTTATTGTCAACAAAGCGTTCAAATGATAATCACCACGACATCCAATATTTCTAAAGGATTTTCTGCATTGCCACTACCTGTACGCTACGTTTTGATGGCTGTGGCTGAATTAAGTGAAATTTCATGCAAGTTATCACAGATCCTTTCGACAGGTTTTGGTGAAAGTGTCGCTTTGGCTATGCTTATAGCCGAATGTAGCGTTACAATTTTTTGGGACATCTATTTGCTGAAGCACACCAATCGTCTTACACGAGCCAATATAGTACACGTATTAAAACTTCGTTTTCTACCCATGGCTCCAGAATTACTTGTGGCAGTTGGTTTTTTATTATTTGGAATTCTATGTACAGTCAGTGGACCAGTTGGGATAGCTATCGGAATATCTGGTGTCATTCTACTGCTTATAATGCGCTTCACTACAAGACCGCGCATTCAACGTTGGTTGGAACAGCGTGAAGTTGCACGCCAGGAAGACTTCTTACAATGGCAGCCACACGAAGTGGCAAGACTTGCAAGAGAAGTATCAGAGGAAGATGAACCACATGATGATCTTATAATCAATTTTGAAAGGAGAAAACTTTCTGGGCAAGCTATAGCTGATATAATCAATCAAGGACGAAACAATTCTGCTGAAAATCATCTAGAAAATGCTCTGAACTTTCTCGATTCAACCCGTTTGGACAAGTTCAAAAGAAACTTAAAAGTTATTTTTGGTCACTTCGATGTATCGGAACAGCTTAAAAGTACTATCGAACTGTCTTATGGGGAACACTTGCTAAATATTGATACTTACGATAGTCCTACGATGACAACGCGCCAAATACTCGATATGGCTAGACTCAATTGGAATACTAACTTTGTGAAAGGCCATTGGCAATTAAGTATGATAAATCCGGAAGATGGTAAAAAATCGGTGGTCGCTTCATATGCAATGGAAAAATCTATAATGCGAAAAATCACCGCAATACCAGATTCAACGACGAAGATAGAACTTTCATATGTGAGATCTGATGAATGTCAAATTTTGTAATCATAGGTTGCGTTCTTCACGATGCATTTTATTTTTATACAATAAGACTTTTAAAATTTCTTAAAACAAATTATTTGCTTTTTTGTCGCTACTATTATATGTCCGATATTTCACCTTGAATAAAAGTATGATTATGTATCAATATCTAATAGTGTTTCCTGTTTCGACATGTACGCAGAGGAAATTCGCAGCTTGGCATGGATGTTGGTGGGTATACTTAATATTATTTAATGGCTTAAAGCAGCCCATATAACGCGTTTCGATTGTTGCTGAAACAATTATCATCAGGTAGGTTCAAATCATATTACTGTTTTAAGATAATTTAATAAAACTGAATATGGCATTTGCTGATATTGAGTTTATTTGTATGGAAGGTCAATATATTGTTTTAAGTTGCAAGGTTGACCGCTCTGTCAGATTCTTGAGGATTCCAGTTTGAGTGTCCTAAATCCATCATGATACGAAGCATTTCGATTTTCCTGAAATAACCAGTGTAGGTTGTACAATGGAGACTAGCACAAAAGACTCCGAATCTTACATGGATTTGCGAGAGTCAATACATGCCATAATTTTCTACTTCTTTTCTTATCTTGAATTGCAGTCAACAATGTTTCTGTTTTTCAGCTATATCGGAAATTTTGTTTTTTCGTATTTCCATTTTTCTCATCGCTCGACATTTTTGTTGATGATGATAGAGTATTCTGGTATGGCGGTGGCTGGTTTTCGTCATTAATTAAGATATTCAATCGACAATACATTTTTAAAAGACAATTTGAATAAAATGTGTTTTACGAAGAATGAAAACAGAGAAGTGAAAAGTTGAAATCCCTATCCAATAAAAGGATTAAGCATTGATCTTTTTAGTATTCCCTACATTAGAATGATCTGCGTGAAAAATGGGTGTTCATCTTGTTCATGATAATGGTTGTTGAGTTATTTGTTAATACAGATATGAAAAATGTATTGACGTAAAAAAGATTAACTTTATGTTTAGTATATCTTCATTAAAGTATTTTCTTTGGGAGTTATTGTTTATTTCTCTTTCAATTTATGATCTAAACGGGTATGTGATTCCCTAAAACACTTAATTCGTAAAAGATATACGCATGCTTCAAAATTGGTACTAAGAGTTATTGTTTGAAGAAAAGAAAAAGAAAGTCATAACTAAATCGATATCTAATTGGTCAGGTGCGAGTGAGTGCGAAGAAATTATATGCATTCTTATCGACGCATCTATACCCTCACTCTCACACTCACATGAAAGAAAATCAATCGTCTAGCCAGACTCTTCTCCCTTCATTCTGAAGATGATTTCTACTAATGATTAGCATCTGGCAATAGGCTTGGGCTGTTGGTGTGTGGGTTTGGACGTCGGGTATGGGCTTGGGTGTAGAAAGTTAGAATAGATGTACGACACCCACACCCACGTCCCAAGACAAAACAAAAAGCAAACATTGACACAAATCAAATTATAATATTATAATTATTCAATGTTCACCAAAAGATTCATAATTGGCATTTAATTATCTATATTTTTATGGCCAAGATATTCCATGAAAGTATCATCAACCAATGATTTTAATTTTTCTCCCGATTTATCTGATTATTGTCCCTCGTGAAACAAAATATAAAACATGAATATAACTTACGAATAATAAACAAATCTCACTCTTAAAAAAATCGCTCTTTTTACCGAACCTCAGAAAAAGGTTCCGAAGATTCCTAAAAGCGCCCAAAGGTGTCTAAAGTCTCGAAAAAAGGATAAAAGAATCTGTGAAACATTTTTTAAAGTTCCGTACAGTAGAAAAAGGTTTGTAGGAAAATACGAAACCCCTATAGTTTCGTACTAAACCCTAATATTTTCATACTAAACTCATGATTTCCTAGAGTTTAATACGAAACTATAAGGGTTTCGTATTTTCCTACGAAACCTTTTTCTGCTGTATGTAACTTGAAAAAGATTTCGCAGGAAAAGTTCTTATTTTGGGTACATCATAAGAATCTTTAAAGGTTTTGTAGATTTTGTTTATCCTTTTTTTGAGACTTTGGACACCTTTGGACGCTTTTAGAAATCTCCGGAACCTTTTCCCGGGGTTCGACAAAAAACGTTTTTTAAAGTGCTTGGTTGATTGAGTACATCGAATAGTTGATTGATTTTATCTGAAAAATTTTCAACAGGATCAATATACTTCTATTTCATATTTTCATCTGTTTCTAATTCACTGGATATACTAAAACCTATAACAATAAAAAGACGAGACAAAATCATCCCTTTACAAAAATAAGAATTCTAGATACCTAGTCATCGTTTGAATTTCGAAATCATAAATGATAGATATATTCATCTTAATTTCGAACAAAACGAAAAGTTTCATTAAGAATTGTAATAAACATACTCATACAAACGAAAACAACCAAAAGTAAATTATAAATAAACTAAAAGATATTGAACCAACCAATGAGGCAGCTTCATGAAAATCATGTACATCAAATTTTAATAATGTCATTTCAAAAAGCATTTGAGCTGTTTGTAAAAAATACTTGAACATTGTTGAAGTTTCGAAGGAAGTGAAAAATAAATTAACTAAATGACCAAGATTAACAAGTGTTATTGTACCGAAAAGTCATGAATTATATAAATGCCGTTTATCTATATCATGAAAAATTTTCTTTAGATATACATCTGCGTACTTGACTAGTTTTGAGCTCTGAGAATTTCTTTCCACTATTGATAGATGAGATGAAAACAAAAACAGATTACGAGTTTGAAAGAAATATTCAGTACAATTTTCATAAAGATTCGATTGATTGTATGGATAATCTTAGCAATCAGATTGCATCCGAGAAAGAACTTTTACAACAAGGAATTTGAAAAAATCACAAAAGAGAAATCTTTATCAGTAAGATGGATATGTCTATCAATTATTTTTATCTTTAAAATCAAACATAATTTTTTTTGTTGTCTTAGAAGATAGACTCAATAAAAATTCTTCAAATGTAACTATTTTCAATTTGATTAATATAGGTTTCAAAATTAGACAGCGTTATCAGTGTCCGTCTTCAAAACTTCATCCAACATATTCTCTAAAGGCAATGGAATTGATTCTTGCTTCGGTGGAGCATCAATACTTGTTAGAGATGCCGCAGCGAGTATTATTGGAATATCAAGTTCAATGTTTGTGAAAAATCCAGAAAGATGTAGTTCAATGTGAACCCAATAATCAATAGCGATTTTACGTCCATTGGACCATCCAGCAGGATAAAATGAGTACGTTGCTGGAAGAGTAGCTGGTAAAATAATATTCATTTGAGTATTCACTTGCTTGCCTTTAAGTTTTTTACTATCCGGCATTTCCTGTGTCATTACAGTTAATTCTTCTTTTGCCGCAATAGAAAATTTTCGAGATTGAATGAGTTCAGTTGATATTCGATTTATCTTGGATGCATTTGGATTGTCGACTTCCAAATGAAGTGTACAATATGTTCCGAGAATAGCGATATTATTTTCGAAATAGGCACGTAGGCAAACACCGTTTCTATTGTTTTTTTTATCTTCAATTCGAGTTCCCGCTACAATTGATGAAGAATGTTGAATAAAAAATGGAAGCGTTTTTTCAATGTTCCTTCGATATATTTCTGACCGGATAATTTCAATGTGTATGTAGTATTTAATATATTGTCCATAGGTTGTTTGTTCTGTAATTGAAGGTGGAAGATACTGGGGCAGAGTAAAACTAAATGGCCAAGTGTGCTTGCCAGGTGAAAGTGTTCGCTGACTAAGATCATTGATTGAATTTGGAATCAACGGTGCAGAGAATAACGGCAATGTGTGAATTGTTATCTCTTCTCCATTGCGTATATGACGCCGTGTGACATAGACACACTTGCCAGCGAATACGCCTGTTATCTTATCGAATTTCAATTCAGTAGGATCAGTATTAGTAAATTCAATCACACCCGAAATAGTGTCACCTGTATAGTATGCATTTTTGCCGGTGTCATCAAGTCGCACTGAAATATTTGAGACGGATACGCTAGAACAGGTCCCCATCAATATCGACGTAATGCTACAGTAAGAATGATTAATATTCTAAAATTAGATTTATGTCGTGTATTCTATACCATTTCTATGAGTCGGCTATTGATTGAAATCGTTTTCGTAACTCTGTGAATCTCTGAGAAAACAATAACATCACTAGTTAAGCTCCTACTCTTTTTGTTTTCGGATATAAGTGCAAATATTATTTTAGGTTAAAAGAATGATGGATATGGTTGAGTTTTGATAATTAGTATTTCTGACTCTGTGTATGTTCTTTAAAATGAATAAATAAACATTTCTAGGGTGAATGGTTAATGTATTGTCTTAGCGTAATTTCTTGAATAATGGTACGTATTAGACGGTCGGTAAAATCATTAGTTTCTACCTATAGTTCTTTGTTGAAGAAGAAAAGATGCTCATATGCGTATGAATATCAGACCATGTTAAAATCCATTGCAAATTAAAAGAAGGATGAGTCTGTTTTAAACAATTTTTAATAGAAACTAGGTAGAGATCAGCGATTTTTGCCAACGAAAAAAAAAGATAAAATTACATCGAACTTTCAATACCAGAGATTTTTGATAAAGTTTCTAAGGCAGAACACATTATATAATATAGACGCTTTGAGATATTAATTTCCAATAGTGCCACAGCATTGTTTACGAAAGTTCGGTGAACTGTACAAGTTCAGTGTTGATATTTTTAGAGAATTTCATGTGTTTCAAGAAAAATCGGCCTCTTAAATCTGTTAAAAAATTTCGTGAGTTTTTCTCTTTTAAATGGTGAAAACCGCTGATCTCTATCTAGTTCCTATCAAAATTAATTCTCCAGATACTCACCCTAATTTTAGTTTGAAATGAATTTTAGTCATAATCTGCTTCATCTTCATTGATAGATTGTCAAGTAAAATATTCATAGTTTGTCGAATAGTGCAGTCATAGTCTGATTGTTTGGATGCGATGATTTCGGTAATTAACCTTACTCACTAGTATCAACCTCAATATGTCAACGTTTGAAAATAAATATAGCAGATTCTCACGAAAAGGCAGACTTATAGCTTAAATTAAATGAAGAATTAAGTGAGAACGAGAATATATATTTTCACTGAGAGCCTGTGTTTATATATATATGTATATATATATATACATGAGTTATTTTGTTTGTATGATTTTTACTTAAAGGAAGTGACTACACCCAATCAGGTTATAAGTTCTCTACATATGAATCAGCGTTGTCACGAACTACAGAAGAAAAGAACTTCAGCATGTATTTGTGGTGCATCCACACATGACTTTCCTTTGTTTACAAACCAGATATGCACATAAGCGAATGCAATCACAGATGCAGAATAATTTTTATATCAGCGTAGTTCCCCCAGAATGCAATGATGACTGGTAAAGAAACCGTTAAATGTTTTTTTCCACATGAAATCAGCGTCGTGCAGAATTCACCTTGATCAAACAGCTTGTAGTCATTTTTATTACCCGTGAGTCATCATTTGTGCTGTAATCCTTGTATCATTATCTCTCATTTCAATATTCAAAAGTATTTTCATCTATCAGTACGAAAGGAGAAACAGCACGTTGAATATGGATTGCTCATTCGCTGCAACATTTTCAATTTATACCAGTTAGGCACTTTAAAGGTAAAAATATGTCAGCTAAAACTTATAAATAAGAAGATATTTAATCTTTCCTTTATCTAGTGATATATATAAATTGTTGAAGTATCGACTGATTTTATGCAGGCATCTCGTACAAACCGTAACACTGAAATAAAGAATGTCTGGGATCAGTGGCAGTTCTCTATGCGATATGAAGTCCTTTCAAATCATACTTCAATGATACAGTGTGCAATTCTGAGAGAAGTCCGATGTTCAACATGAAAAGTGCTTTTTTGAATAAGTACATTTTTAACAGATTGAACAATATATGCTCTTACATCTAACTAGAATAAATACTCGACGAGAAATGTCTTGATACTTCGCTTTACTTATGTAGTTGGATGATTGACATCTTTCTATATTACTTTTCCAACTGATATTTTTTACAAGATAAATTAAAATAAATTCGAAGAAAATTTTTCATTCGAACGCCGTTTTGCTTTTTCTATACATCATGAGACTGCTTAATTTGAATAGATTGATATTTTATCGTCAATCAGAGAGCTATATGTTAACCTTGATGTTGTTTTATATATCATTATCTTCGTTTATAGATAATGAGTGATAAAAGATAGGTTTTTTTGTTCGCGTTTGTTTCTTTGTCGTTTGCCAGTATACGTTGGAGAATCGAACCGTATCGAAATGTACATCATAACGTAGTTTTTGTGGTTACTACATACATAAAAATCGTTTCTTGTTCTATAAATATTTCAAATAAAATATGTTTTCACGTTCTGTCGAATTCGAACGTCGAACATTATTAGTACAATTTATCAGTGTTAAACCTTTAACATTCTATTCAACAGCCGATGGTACAGATTTAGTTCAAGATATATTACGAGGTGAATTAAGCCGATCAGATGCTGATATACTTGGACAAGAAGGTTCATTATCACTCGATGATAATGGCGAATTTCTTTCGTTTGAACCAACAGATACGAAAAATCGAACATTACATTTGCCAATAGAACATTTAGCATATTGTGGCGCTTTAAGACGTATTCGCCGTGATAAATCCGATGAACGTAATCAAGATCAAATTAAATTACGTGAATATGAAAATGTTGATTTAGCCAATCGTTATCCTCAACATATTACGGGTCCGCCTATATTCGTTGCAATTTTTCATGGTTTCGACAATGCACTTTGTTATACATTTGTAACACAAAGTTCGGATGATGCTTGTATTTTAGTTTTGAAACTTATGAAAGTCTTTCGACAATATGAACAAAAATTAAGAATGCAAAATCAAGATGCTGCCACTTCATCCATCAATAATAATGGACCGGTGCCTTCGACTGTTGTCATCGATCAAGGAGATCCTTTACAGTATATGTCACAGGCATCCATCTTTGATAATACACAAATATTATCACCACCTTCGTATATTCAACTTCCTCATACGATAAGAAATATGTGTAATCAAAATTTGTTTCCAGGTAATGGAATTGAAAAATTACTCTCCGATTAAAGTTTATTAATTATAGGTCAGCCTATGGTATCATCTTCAGCTCATGTTTCTCCGTATGCTGATACTTTGCCCACAGCATCGTCTGGAGTAATAAATATATATTATTTAGAATACTAAGAATAACAGTGATTTTTCAAATTTTAGACATCCTATCCTGCAAGCATTCCAGCCACGATTTTTATACGTAACCAAGATACTTGTGTTTGTTGCCCTTCGCCATATTCTATTGTTCGACAAGAAAATATTCGTTGTGATGGATCATATTGTACACAATGTCGTTTACCAGTTTCTTCATGTAGTTGCATAATGCATAACCCATTATCGTTACCAGATTGTTATTGAATTTGAAAAAAAAACAATTTTCTTCATACGTTAGAAGTTAAAACCATGATTTTTAGTATAAATTGTTTATAAAAAAAAAGAAACTTTCTTAGCTTCTGTTTACTAATAAAAACTACTCTGAATTAGTTTTGTAAAGATGTGACGCTAAAAAGTATTTAACAGAACTTGATTGAATCTATTGACATGTTCTAATTATTTGAAACTTGGCTGTACCGTATCGGCAAAAATTCAAACTCATCGAAAGTTTATTCCTCATAATGATTTTCAAAGAAACAAACAAATAATGCACATTGAAAAAATCGGAAAAATTTTGTCTACGGTACGATTTTCAGTTCTTGTTTATTATAATAAGTATACCCATAGCATAAACTCACAATCACAACATGAAAAATATCTATTCGGAATTTATAGACCAAAGTCATCATTGAATTGGGTGTGGATATTAGTCTTCTCTAATTCTGCACTCAAACTCACATTTCCAACAGTTATTTTTTTTCTTTCCACTTCTGTCGCCGATGTTTATGACTAAGCTTGCAACCAGGACGATAAGCGTGGAAAAAACGCTTTTTCATCGAATCCTATCAAACAATAGAGCTCGTCGAGTGCTATCTTGAACATCAGTGGTTTAGTTAGAACCAGTCGTGGAGCGAACCACAACCAGAAATACTCAAATCCTGACATGATATAATCTGTCTTTTTTGCTTTGATTCATATGTCAGTTATGCAGCGCACTTATGATTAAGTTTGTCATAAAAGAAAATACCAAAATCAATATTATAACACAACCTTTCCAATATAAAAACTAAGCTCTATGGCTTTTTCTTTATGATTTCAGTGATTAATGTGCTTTAAGCTTATATTAATCATCGTTTTTTTTTATTAGAAGGCTTCCGCTTTATTGAATAATCTCCTTCTGAATAATCTTGATATTGCCAAATCGTCATTTTTCGAAAACATTTCAAGTTGGTTTCACGTCATTTTCTTCTTTTTTAGAATAAAATTACCCATTCAATTATGATTCATGTTCAGATTTCTGAATTCATAGGATTTTTTGCCATACCATATTCATCCTATATCAAAAGTTACACGCAAGAATTTAAGGTAATTTTCGTAAATTGAAATGAAATTGGTTAAGTTTCTGATGTTAGTGTGCTTGAAGGGAACAGAATTAACCAATAATTTGTCAGGAATTCAAAGTAAAGTTAACCAGTATGAGGTCGAAAACTATGGATATTAATCATTTCATTGCTGTTAAAACATACGAATTAGGAAATAAAACTACAAGAATAGCGAAATGCACCCCTATAAACTACACGATTTTTCAATACATTTTGTTTAATACTATCAAAATTTCCAGTAGTTACTCTAACTTTGAAAAGAAAATTACAACTTTTGCGATACCGTTTTCATTCTCGCATATTTATCGCTTAAACTATTTACATTTCACGTAGAAAAACTTCGAACATTTCGGTGAAATCATTTTTGATAGCATAGCCATTTCTACCATTCGAAGAAAGTTGCTTACTGTGAATGATTCATTATGAAAATTTCTTGAACGTTGTTTCTTTATCTATCAAGTAATTTGTGAGATTTCACAGAAATTGCTTTAGTTTTTACATGGGTATGTGTGTATATTTTGCGGTCTACATCCTGCATAGTGACAGGATGGCAAAGATGTATGCAGTATGCACAAACACAAATAAATAAAATCGTGTTTTAGATAAAGAGTCTTTGCATTCTGAACAATAACAAAGATTAACAATCCTCTATAAGACACAAGTGGAAAATATTTATTATTACTATCACATCTAATTATCTACGTCGCCTATTATCACTTTTCGTTTAGAGCAAGTTAACAAAATCACTCATCAAATATGCTCACACTCGAGACGTATCATTTTTATGCTACCTGGCACATTTCCATATGCACTATAACTTTCGAGGTATTGACTGTTTTATTTGGAATACTATCGTGCGCCACACGCTTCCGTCGATCATCGTTATGGATCACAGCAATAGGTTGTTTCTTGGATAGCCTGGCAGCAGGACTTATGAGCTACACACTTTCTTCTCTGGCTTCAACTGACTCTATTCTGATGCTTTATACGAGCACCTATATCTTGTTTGGGCTTTATGAAATTTTTCGCTTCTTGCTTCCACTCTGGTTAGATCACGATGAACTTTTTTATCCGTCCAAAAACGTTTATCCTATTATCAGTACCTTCACTTTAGTCATGAGCTTACTGCCACTACTCATGCTTCTCGTTTGGGCAGTTTGGATAATTCTTTCATTTTTCATGGCATCTTTGGTGCGGCCAGTGGAATTAATAATTAGTAAAAAGTATCAAGAATCCTGGCTACAACATTTGACGAGTATACAAAATCATACAATCGTTACAACTACGCCAATTGCAACAACAACAACGAATTTTACACTTCTGTCGGCGAAGCCTCTATAAATATATTTCCTCAGCATTTCATCTCTGAATAGCTGTTATTTAAACGTGAGATACGAGTTCAATTTTTAATATCCGCTTGAATTTAAAGAAATTTTTATTGATTTTTCGCTTTTGTATTGTACCCATTACGACTTTATTTTATTTCTAAATATATATATATCGCAGACGGACTAAGAGTGTACGGCTGTAAATACAGATCGTTTCAACTGGAAGAATATTCGGTCTGTGCGTTAATTTACATAACTACATATATCACCCACAAAAGAGTTTACCCCTTAACGAGAAAACAGAAGTACTGGAATCACTATAGTTGATCCGTATTAAGATCCGCAGCTTGTAGTTTTAAACGAGTATTAGATTATACTTTATTTTGACTGACTCCCCATAACCGTCTATAAAACGTATGGTCATATACATTCTTCGTGGATTTTTTGTTTGTGTTGTCGATAAATATCGGTATATTTGAAAATGAGCGCCACACTCACGTTCATACCCTCAATTTAGTCAAACGGAGAAAAATAAACCTTGAACTATCGTACTATTTTTTTCCCGAGATTTAACTCTTTCACTTTCATACGATTAAGCCGTGTTGTATCTCTTGTGAAGTTTTCTGTTACAATTGTTAATTCGGTCAGACGAACTAGATATGTTTTTTTTTTATAACGAACACGCATTATTTTAAGCAAAGGAAAAAGGTGAACAATCCGCATGAAAAAATCATGTTTAAATGAAATTATATCATATCATGTAATGAAAAGCATGACTTATAACACTCTCGATTAGTATTCGATCTAGAAAATAGCATGCTTGTTGATATCCTGTGTTAATAAAAGTTCGTTGAATATCGTCATTTTGTATAATCTACATGATTTGACTTTGTTTTGGTGCTAATATAAAAAGTGAATTTATAAAATCGTGCCATATGAACAAGAATTTTTTCATTAATAATATTCAAACTTAATTCTTCAAGATTTGACACATGACTATCATATTCATTAGTTGAACAATGAAACTTTAATGATAAATAGCTTAACTAGAAAAACAATGAACCGAATAATATATAGACTTATGATATATTGTAAACAACTGATAAACGATATACAATATTATCAATACTAACAATCAAAATAGCCAGATGCTTGAGACGATCACATTAAGTAAAACAAAAGAATTCACATCAAGACATAATTTGTAAAGATTTGAAGAGAAACAAGTAGCTAAAGATACATTACGATTTGAGAAAATTGGACGTAATCCAATAACAGATAAGTGTTTCTTATTTTCAAAGTATATTCGTGCACATATTTTTGCATTTTTATTCATTAACAATATTTTAACATCGTTGTTAGATACAAGAATGCGATCTGTAATTTGTTCTTGAAAAATACGTCGAAACGGTGATTCGACTAAATTGAATTAGACTGATGCTTTTGTTATTATGCATGTCTATATATAGATATGTTCATTGTTGGTTTGTGTCCGTTGTGATGAATGAACCCGCCGAAAGGATGTGGTTGTTGATCTTTTCAAAACCCTCATCCCACATGACTGTGAAGACTTTTTAGCGGTGAGACGACAAGAAACAAGAAGTTGATTTTAAAAAATTTACTGCATGAACAACAAGTGAAACCTTTTTTTTCTTTTGTATTGTCAGTAAAAAAATGTTGAATGGAGTACGCATGAAATACTGAAAAATGATTCGATATCAATACCAGTACTGAAATAAGCTTATGTCCTTTTCATTTTATCTACGTGAACGAACAATGTAGACATTTTTATCTGTTTTTCTTGGTACTTTTATTTAAAATTTTTATCAGAAAGTTCTTTTGAATTTCAACAAATTTATGTCACATATATGATTATGAAAACTACGGCGTAATGCATGATTTTCATCACGACCTAGACTCAAAGTGTTAATTATACTAGTTTATCATTGATGAGGTTTTCAGATTTGTCTAACCTTGCCCAAAAGTAAAAGTGTCGAAAGGTACAAATGTTTAAAAGGACAGTGTGTAGCAGTAGAAATCTTCCTCAATCTTACATCACTAGTTTCACCCTCGCTTTTGTTCGCGATGGTAATAAGTATTCAAATTATTTGAAAATTCTCTCGAGAAAACTTTGACATTTTTATAAGAAGATTTTTGTTTTAATAATGAAATGATCGATTAAATGAAAAAGAATCAAACTTGATAATCGTTATGCCGGCTTGGATAATTCGACGACCTATATTCACATCTACACCGACCGGTCAACATTATCTATAGACAATGTATCATCGAATTCGATTGCCCAAACAATGCCAGGTAGAGACCATCGCTCAATAATGTTTGTTCATTTTATACTATTGGTACGTCAGCAAATTAATATTATTCAGACGGACGAAAGAACGGATAGACAAAGACCTACCGAACACATATGACAGGCAATCAGACCACCTATATATACTTGAGAATAAGTCAAGTGAAGAACATATTCTTTTTTTTCTTTCGAAACAACTTCTGTCGTAATTATTCTTCCATAAAATGAATAGCGAAGATGTGGCCTCCATTATTCTGTCGTCGAATTATTCTGGCGCATGCGATCATACACCGCTAACAAATGAAGGCATTCTTAAACTTACGGATCAACAGTCTATTGTCATTTATGGTCCAACTCTCTTTGCATTGAAGTATCGAGTTCTTCCTTGCACAGTAAATCCAAAAATACATCGTTCCACTGACTATGTTGATGTTTCCACATTTAATTCGATTGGTCAGGGTGTGTCTTTTGCTCGAGGACGACAATGGTCTTCAAAAAGAAAACAAGGAGGAATGTATCATGCCACAAGGTTAGTCCATTAATTTCGATCTATCTTGAACGAAAATAATTAAACTTTTATTTCTCAAACAGTGCCATAAACTTTATCATCAATGAATATAAATTGGATCGAAATAGATTTATTTACGATTGGAGCTATGACGCATCGGATAAGAGTTCTCTTATTTCCACAGTTTATATTGATCTGGGAAATTATCTATCAGGTAAAAACGAATTAACTTTCTTTCTTCGATAAGAACGCTTATTTTCTATGAACATCGAAGAAGAACGATTTAAAAATAAAAACCAAATCCTTTTCACATTTTAGTACAATTCAGTGGTGGCTCTATAAGTCCGACAAATATAGACAATCCCAATGCTCTAGAACCAGACCATGAAACAAATATCTTCCATTGCTTTACTTATGCTACGGTAATCATATATTAGATTTCTTTTCATAAACAAATTTAATTTGACATGAACTCGATAAACGAATTTATATTGATTGACAAAATGTTCTCTAGTTTTTCGAACAAACTGCTCAGAAATAATTCATTGCCTAAAATTATTTCAAATGGATCAGCATCCTATCTGAAAATCTATTTGTTTTCTATTCAGATCTTCCATGTTCCACAAACAGCAGATCGTGCACGAACACTTTTTGAACAATTGTCAAAATTTAAACTATTCCCAATCACTACGGCCACCTTACAAATGGTTTGTCATGATGCTCAAAATGGATTCTACACTTCATCCATTCGTATGAACCAGCCTCGTATTACTGATCTTAAACTTCACTATGGTGACGAATTTGAGATTATTCACGAACAACTTCTCGAAACATTACAAGAAAAAGATTCCACTGGTATAACGTTTCTTCACGGTCCTCCGGGTACCGGAAAAACTTACTATTTGCGCTATTTGATCAATGAAATCAAAGACAAGAGTTTGATCTATGTTCCACCTGATCTTGTCAATGTAAATATCAATTGATGATCTATATAAAAAAATTTATTTTCTCTCTCATCGTTTTCTTTCGTTCTAGGATATGACGAAACCTGGTTTTTTACCCTTCCTCATGAAACATCCGAACTCCATTCTGATCATCGAAGATGCCGAGAATATTATTCGCGATCGAATACAGGATAATTTTCTACCCAACCAGGCTGTGGCTAATCTACTCAATCTTTCTGACGGTCTTCTCGGAGATGCCATGCATCAACAAATTATTTGTACATTCAATTGTGATGTCAAGGGCATCGATCCTGCTCTTCTGCGCGATGGACGACTAGTGATCGAACACAAATTCGATAAACTGAACGTACAAAATGCCCGTCGTATGTGCGTGGAGTTAGGTTTATCCGACTATGGCAACGATATTCATGAACCAATTTCTTTATCTGAGATCTATGCACGAAAGAATAACACAGAGGCAGATTTGGCAAATGGTCACACAACGAAGAATAACCGAACATTGAAGAAACGCAATCAGAAAGTTGATCCTTTTCTTGGGTTTTATTCTTAATTGTTTTCTTTGCTAATCTACAAGATATATAAATAAATGAATAAAATATCTGATATCAATCTCTTTAGTTCAAGGTGTAGCTTAGAATATGAGCATGGTTGTGGATGTAAGTGTTGGGGTTGTTTTTTAATTACATCAACGCCCGCGGTCGGAACTTTTTCACTAGTATATTATACTGACTATACACACGCTGTTATCGCTGTAAAATTTATGATATAGACTTCACTTTTACAATCTTGAACTCAGTATAACTTCTAATATCTATAATGGTATACTAATTCGCGTCTGGATATTCCAGAAGTAGAATAATGCTATGCATTTGTTATAAGTCTCCATTTATTCATGTCTTCAAACATGTTTTCCATCGGTTATTGTTGATCGTCTTAGTCAATTACGTGCATGATACATTGTGTATGATGCGTGGCTCAAGAAGAATTCTTTCATGCAATTTTCTATTTGACAGCTGTTGAATTAGTAATGTTTAAAGAAATTTCTTCAAAAATATGTTCGTATTTGTAAAAAGAAAAGAAAGAATAAATTTGATTGATTATGTGTCTTTTAGATGTTTTTTCTTCTTATTTATAATTGCAAGTTCTCTATAAATTAGTATGACTTGTCGAATAAACGAATGTCTTTCCGAAAAAAACAAGAAAAATTAAGAATTATAAATCTTACATCATTTTTATTTTTCCACGGTTACACAACATATTCTATTATACATTGCAATTAATCACAGATGAAAATAAACGTTTATCTATTTTTTTTCTTCTTTTGTTTCTCAGTCATTTATACGTGTTTGATCGCCATGAAATTACTTACACAACTCAGATATATAACAAATAATACGAACGATTAACGGGGTATTGTTACTCAAGTATTTTTCACTATATGTATATCATTCAACAGCTGAATTTGAAATGTTATTAGTAATATGTCACATTTACATATATTTATCTTTACCATTGTTACCCGAAATGTCATGTCGATGCACTTCCATTCAATTTGAAACATGTACATCGCATTATGGGCAGTTTTCCTCGTGGTACGCGTTTATTTCTATTACTAAGTTATGTGATACTCACAAATACAATATCACACCAAGTAGTGAAATCTAAAGTACAATCATCAATTATTGAGCATTCTCATCTTGTTCTCGAACTCGACTGTAATTATTCACATATTGACTATGTGAGAAAATTTCTTTCCAAGCTTCATATTCAACATGAATATTTAGCAATTGTTACAAAGACGTGTAGCTACAAGAAATACAAAGCGTATCGATTTTACAAAATTGAAAATTGTTAAGTTTAGGTATAATTTGAAAAAAATGAGCTCACAAGACTTTGATCACTCTAGTTTTCCTTTACTGTATCTTGTTTAATATATCAATAAATTAAAATTAAAATACTCTTACTTCTAAAAGATATTCTTATTAAAAAGATTAAATGTATTTTGTACTATTCATGCTAACTGTAAAATAATGAATCCAGGAGTGTATTGAGTAGTTTGATGTTTTGCATTCAGTATTGCTTTAACGATGATAACAATATATGACAGATCTGAGATAGATCCCTATTTTTTACGAACCAAGCCTGGGGTGGGAGTTCGTCCTTGTTTTTCACACACACTCATCGAAAATGGTCAGATGGTGAGCGTCAACGGAAAGTAATTAAAAAGGTTGCTAAAACGCAGGAAACAAGATAAAGGGCTACTATACGAGGAATAAATTAAATTTTTGCTATGCACAATGCTTCGCTCACTTATTGCTATTCAGCGTATGCTAAAATGCGTTTACAACGATATCCGTGCCGTGAAACTGTCGTACGTCAGAAGGAGTGCTAGTGTGACTATCACTATGACTCAGCTGTTTCATTCATAGACACACAATTATATCCATAAAAACATGTGAAAACGGATCAAAAGCGGGAGTTTGGAAACGTATTTTTTAAAGGGTGCTTTTTTGTCGTTTCTAACCAGTAATCTGTGCTTGAAAGCTGATTGCACGACTGTGTTGATTTTATTAGATAGTGTAAGAAGACAACGCCGATAGGTAGTGATTTCATCAAAATCTGAAGTTAACTTGTAATAAAGGAAAAAATGTGTTTCTCTGGATGTTACGATCAAAATATGACAGAATAATGGATTGAACATGATTAAGGTGATCGATATATCAATAAATAGTTCTCTTTGAATATATGTTTTTCTTCAACTAATACAAAGCCAACTGATTCAACTTCATTCATTACGATCTCTTTACCACATCGTACATGCTCCATCAACCGATCAATAGTCACACCAGGTATACGTTCAAAGTCAACAATAACAAACAGTCCATTTGGTTTAAGAGTAGCACGTATTGACTTTAACATTTCTATTGGATATTCAAAGTGATGATAAGTATCAATGCAATATACGACATCGATTTTATGCATCTGTATGTCTGAATGAATAAGTGTATGTGGTAATGTTTGTACTATATGAATATGTGCTCTCTGGCCGGAATTGCTTAGTTCATTTACTCGCTGAGTCATATACTGGCAGAATTTAGCGGATGGTTCTGCACATATCAATGTACCATTGGGTCCAAGTCGTTCAGACACTAATTCCATAAATAACCCTGAACCTGCACCTAAATCAATGATTGTTTGACCTTCAATCAATGGTAATTCACTGCATAGTTGATTACGTCCAACAAATAATTCACGACTTTCAGTTTCAAATCTGTCTACGTCGACTGCGGTCGGTATGGATGTATCATTGAATGATTTATTGATGATTGGATTGATAGATATAAGCTCGTGCGGAACTGATGATAATGATATCATGATCTACAAATTTGATAAACAACAGTTTGTTGATGTGACAAATTAAAATTTAGAATTAAGGTTTTTTTTTAACACGCACAGGAACCAACTTTAAAAGGGATCTTTTAAACTTGTTAGGTCCTTCTCCTTTGTTTATTCCTTTCAATCCTTCTTTTTTACAAAAAACAAACAATTGAATTCAAAAACAAAAAAGCGACGAAATATATCCTTTTTCTTTCGCTCTCTCTTCCACCAGTCGGTTCCATCTCATAACTATGATAGAGGGATAAAGATGGCCGTCTTATGTCAGGAGATGTCTCTACTGACATAACAAAACTAAATTTATATTGCAGAACACGGCCTATCAGTTTCAGTCGTTCATAGATTTTAAAACCGCTCTGCCGAAATAGGAATCTTGATTTACACGTGACATCCAATAATCAGATTTTCTTCATGTACGAAAACGTAAGCCACCCCAGGACGAACAATCCGATAGTCGGATCCTAGCGGAAAATTATCGGGTTTTATCGGATCCGATGGCAATTCGTCGGAAGTTGGCGGAATCCTTGGTGTTGGATTCCGACAGGAAGTTGTCGGATGTCGGAAAATGCCTGAATGGCCCGGCCTCTGTCGGAACCCTAAAAATCCGACACTTTCCGACATCCGACAACTTTCTGTCGGCATCCAATACCAAGGATTCCGACGACTTCCGACGCATTCCCATCGGATCCGATGGAGTGAGTTCGACCTGGGACACTCAGATATATTTAGACAGCAAATGTTGCGTTTTTGCATGATTCATTTTCCTAAGATATTGCTCAAAAACCGGCTTTCTAGAAAACACATAAAACGGTGAATATCCATTTAAAACATTTGTTGCTCTTTTCAGGTGTTAGCTCGTAAGATTCTGATTAAAATCAGACTCTTTTCAGTTTTATATATGGTTTAAATGTCCGACGTCAATAATCACAATCCATTGGAATCTACTGAATAGTTGTGTAATTCAGGATATCCTATGCTAGGGGGAAGGGGCATACAACTTTGACAGAAAAGAACATTTTCTCAGTATGCATAATTTAATTAGCTCATTTCAAATACATGGTTTTAATTTGTTAAAACTGCTTTTTGAGGGGAAAATAGAGTTTTGGAAAATTCATTGTGGGATCCAGGAAGAATAGGCTTACTTCATAGGATAGATACATATAGAAGATCTTCTATACAGTTTGAGCTCTATCGAAAGACTGAAAAATAGTCAAAATCTATTACACTAAGGAGGGAAGACTCCTGACTAATAAAATTCGATTTTAATTATGTTCTGCCGATAGATACTATATGATGCCCTAGTCTTAAACTCGAAAGGATTTTGTTGCATAGCTCTTGTTTCCAATGTTATGAATCCTTTAATATTTGTCATTGGAGATTCTATAATTTATCATGGTTCACATTTGTCTAGAGCTCATGATGTCAATGAATTACGGAATAAGTCGAAATTTGTATGTTGATCCCAATAAAAATCGATGCAAATTTGAAATTATTTTGTCAGTTGGCGAGCTTGACTTCAACAGAAAATATCGTCCTACCAGAATACGAGCTTGTACCAATACTCACTTTAGAGAAGAGTTGGCCGACGGCGAGAATGATTTTGGTCAATATTGTTGTTGAGAAAGATAAAAATGTGCACAACGTAATTCTTTTATCTTTTTTCGATTCTGTCCGCAATAAAATTGATAATAGAATGAAGAGACTTAAAAGAAAAGGAGCTGAAACAAGCATCGAAAGAAAGAAACAAAATATTTTTTGTTATCTTGTGTTACTCATTCGTCTGCGACAGGGCTCGGTCTCCGCCTCTATCTTCCATGAATTGATAGATCTAATGTTTTGTATGCTGAATCATATTTTCCGTGGAGTGCGGATGTCTAGGATAATAGCACACATACCCATACCCATATCCATCTACGCCACGCTCATATTAGCACCCACACCCTTACATACTATCCGAGCACACTATACCATATATCCTATATGTTTCTTTTTCTCGAGTAGTCGAGATTCTGATGAGTTCCGACGGATCAAAAGTTTTTGAGGAGTTGAAAATGAATCTTCGATAGGATCATTTTTGAGTACTCGTCGCAACCATCACATTATTTGTAATGCCTACTTGGGTAAAATATGTCATTTAGGCTCGCAAATCAGATTAAACTCGAATTTAGATAGTACCCTGTCGATCAAATATCAAATAAAGAAAAATCGATTTTAATTTCATTTTGAGCTCATTTTTACAATGATAATTATAAATCCAAATTTTTTTCTATAAAGTTTTATTTTATATGCATATGTTAACAAAAAATGCACCAAATTGTAAGGAAACTTTTGGAAAGCAATGCGAATTTCAATAAAAGAGGATCGATCAACAGTTAAGTATGCTGATTTTTAACTCTACCAAGGTTTCATGAATATTGCACTCATAACAGATGTTCCCGTGATAATTTTTACCCAGCAGCACTTACTCCGGAGACCCATGGCAAGCCACAATCATCACCAAAAACAGGTTTGGATGTGGGGGTGGGTCATTTTATTTAATTCGACTTAATTAAGTCACTTAATTAAGCAATTTTACTTAACACTTAATATTAAGAGATTAAGTTTCCTCATAAGCACTTAACCACTTAATATTAAGTGTTAAGTAAAAACTTAATTTTGAAAATTAAGTTTAAGTTTTTTCACTTAATATTAAGTAATTAAATGTATTTTTCTCACTTAATCACTTAATATTAAGTGAAAAAGCTTAAACTTAATTTTCAAAATTAAGTTTTTACTTAACACTTAATATTAAGTATTAAGTTTTCACTTAACGCTTAATATTAAGTATTAAGTATTAAAGAAAAAACTTAATACTTAATATTAAGTGTTAAGGGACAAAACTTAACTTAATTTTAAGTTAAGTCAAATGACCCACCCCTAGTTGGATGTAGGTTTGGCTATTCAAATAGTCTTCCAGCATACACTCACACTCATGCTCTGTATTTATTACTCCTTTCTCACTAATCGTCATTAGTATGGTCATTCATGCATGCATGCATGCAAGCAAACATGAAAAGGAAATAGTTGCTATTCTATGCAACTATCAATTTTTTTCATTATTTATTTTTTTTACAAAATAAAAGGTAGAAAATAAGTTATAGCAAGAGAACAACGAAATTAACGAGAACATAGTATTCGTAACTCCATGTCTTCTTCGACCCATGAATTTTCAGTGGTATTGGAGTTTCTCAGCTAACGAAATAGATCCACAGTGGCAGAAGTACAGTGACGTTGAAAAGGAAATTATTGAAGATGCCTTTAATCAAAAGAAATGAAATGAGGAAATTGATGGAAATTATATTGTCAATTTAGAGAAGCAGATTTACTATAAGAAAGATCATTCTCATGAACACTTTCAGATTAAACGCGGTCAGATTGATAGATATCGTGGTGTTGATCACATACGTAGAGAGAGATTTCTACTATCAGTGACAATCCCTGACAATACTTTAACTGCATCGGGTCCGAAACAACAACAAGGCAATGATTTTGCACTATTGCGACAACATAGTTATTTTCCGGCTACATATTCTAATCTCGGACTATCAGGCACACAAAAAACAATTGTTGATGTAGTTGAAGAAGCAGCTCAAGGAATTATAAATGAAGGAGCACTACATGGTAAAGTACATGAAGCAGAATGGTTAGCAAAAAGACTTTATGATGTCAAACATGAAATTGCCGAGCTTTCTGATGGAAATACACTACTTATAATTGATCTAACCGTACCATCAGATAGAAGAGAAGGCAGTGTTCGTTGTGGTGCAAACATGTCTCTATTTTCTGAGTTTTCAGAAGAAGAAGAATTCGTAATATGGCCTGGAATAAAATTTCGTTTTGTTAAATCCGAATATGACACGATGAAAAAGAAGCATTATTTATTTAAGATATGGATATTTAGGATATGTATCTTTTGGGGTGTGGGTGTGGTTATCACTTTCCTTGCCCTGCTCTGTGGCATCATACAAACATGCACCCTCAAAATATACAAAATCGACCAATTGTTTTTACCGTATCCATCATGAAACGAGTACTTCTTATGACTATATTCGCTGACTAGTGTCTGGAATAAAAAACAATTTTTCTAACAAGCTTTTATCATTTTACAAATACTATTTCAAAGTTTTATATGTTCATGAATAAAAATCAAAAGTAAAAGGATATCATCAATAGTGATACACATATATATTTACCACATGAACCTATTATTTTTAATTGACTAATTATATTTTATCTGACACAGTATCTAAGCGACCATAGCAATCGCCAATAAATGTTGTTGTCGATGGGTACGTGACCGTTTACTTTTACAAGAGTTCTCATATCGATTCCAAAGAAACTTCAATCGTTGATTGTTCGTCATTAAGATTTCATCCAGTAAATAGTCGTCAACAAGATCGTTTTCATCTTCTATTGTTTGCACGATTTCCTGTTGTCTTAATGTTATACTTGACTTTTTAAATCTTTTATTCAGCTTTGTTTGATGTAGAGTTCTAGATTGTTTGAGATTCGAGCATTTATTTTTGTTTGTTTTTCGAGGAAGATCCACTCGCCAATTATAAAAATCATATGTCGGATGAATATAAGTGTTCTGTATGAATCGGTGCCACTGTTGCTGTAGCACATGTTTGATAATATCAACACGGGATAAATCTTCTGTTGAAATAATAACCCAAAGTCCATGAATGGCTTGGAGTGCTTCGAAGAAATTTGAACATTTAGCTACTAAATTATATTTTATTTGAACAACTTCATCTAGTAACTCCTTCGATGTGTTCGATGTTATGAATTGAAGAGCAACATGGTGAAGTTTTTCTAAAGCAAGGTGTTCTTTGTCTTGCTGAAGAATAAACTGATTTGATATGGTAGTTGCAATTTTTTTATTGAGCACAGTAGGAAAAGATAAAACTGTATAATGAAGAATTTTCGATGATGATGATAAGACATTAGTAATAACATATTGTTTTAAATCAAGTTGAAGACAAATAAGTCGTAATTCATTAATATCCATTGATGTTAAAACTGATTCTGTTGCTGCTGCCGATATCACATTATTTCTTTTCTCAGGACATGAACAACATTGTTTTGGGAGTTGTCGTAATGTTAAGATAGAAAATTCATTTGTCTTTCGTAATTGATTGATAGCAGCATGAAATTTAGAACGAAAATGGTGATCATGAACGAAACACACCATAATTGTGAATACCTAATGTGATACATCTGACCATTTTATACTACAGTTGAAAAAGAAAACGAGAATGTCGCAATTATGAATGCTTACTATGAGATGTTTCCCAACAAACACAAAATGACTCATGACTGCGTCGGTTGTTTTGTGACTTGGTGGAAAATTGTATTTCAACGTTATTTTGCAACATTATGAAAATAATGCATCCATTACAACTATTTCAGAATATCTTGCAAAATTTTGTTTTATTTCAGTAGAATGATCATTGAAATAATATTTAGAAAAAGAAACCAAGTTGCTTATGAATCATCTGAAAAAGGCTGAAAGCCAAGAATCAAAAGTAATAGTAAACTATAGATGTCCATCGCAGTCGACGGTGTACGTGTGCGTATGAGAGTATTGGTGCGAGATGAGAGTGTTATGTGATGGATGCTTTAGATAACTAAAGGCCTTATATGAATCAAAGCAAAATCACATCCACATCTGTGTCTTCAGGGCTTCTTGGAAGTCTGACTTCTGAGTATAATATAACATTTATTAATTAGCAATATCACTATAATTAAGGCGTATACGTAACCACATGCAAAAGAAGTCTGCACACAGTATCACCTTCGGCAATCAACCAAGCTTTCTGCGAAAGGATTTAGATTAAATTTACTTTTGGAAATCACAAATAATTCGCCTGAGCCAGTATAACATTGATGCACCCTTACCTAATTTCAACTACTAAAAACAAAGTAGAACTTAATTGTCTCTTTCAACAAAAGGGTTTGTAGCTGGTTTATAATGAATTAATTATCTTGAAATTCTTTATAGAAATCTTTGCTCCATCAAATTGAATTCATTAAAGGTCATTTTACCCTTAGAATGGAATTGGAATTGGAATTAACTTATACGATGTTTTGTCGACGTCCCGTGGTGGGTGGCATTGAGTAAGAACGAAATACGGATCATAGCTGCTCTTTTCTGAATAGTTACCCTTACACCCTCGATTTCTGTGAAGTATTATGTCTTTGTTGTTCGTTCTGTTGAAAAATACTAATTACAACTGTAGTGTATTGCGATTTTTTCGATATTGAAGTTTGCCATTTAGTTTAAGTGCAATGAATAGAATGAAAAATGAATTTTAGCATTAAAATTAATCTTTGCCGATATCATTCGCTCAATTTAGTATGTTTGTATTTATTGTTAGGTATTTTTAGAAAAAGTCTGGCCACGTATATACTGATACTATATTTACCAGCTTTAGTAATAGTAAAATTGTTAACCATACATATGCTATTGAACCACCAATATGTAGTGCTATCTGTCAGAAAGCTCATTTTCTTTACCTTGTGAGCATAACATTAAGGAATGATGAATTTTTTTCAAGTAATCGATCACTCTATAAAAACAGGTCATCATCCTCTTTCGTAATGTAATTTCTCGCCTATGTCATTGGTTAGCCACGATGACCGGCGGCTAGAGTGTTAGTTTCATTCTTAGTCTCTCACTATTTATTTTCATTTAGTTTATTTCTTTACCCTACTTTAGACGCTTCCTTCAAATATTTTCAATCATCCTATTTCCATGGACTTATCCACGGCCTGAATTTATTATTATATATTAGATAACATTAGTGAGTTTAACTTTATTTAGTTTAAAAAAGCTGCTAGCGCAATTCCTCTGGAATTAAAAATGTGACACACGATATAATCACTGCAGGAAGTCACATGGAGATGGTCTATTCAAGGGAGTTCTTTGTTGATTTGGTGAGACAGCTCGTTTGCCGCTATTAGTGATGATCTGCGCTAGTCTGAAGGGTCGTCTCTGAAAATCTTGTGTAAGAGTCTGTAATGGCTATTCAATTTATATGGTACTAATTAATCGACTAATTAAAGCGTATGTCACGATCTGCAGTCATTTCTGATGATCATCTGTCACGGTTTCTGATGGCCAATTAACTAGTTGAAGTATCAATCATGGTTTCCAATGGTCTCTGAAGCTGTCTGTCGCGGTCTGTGGTGGTTTCTAAAGACCGCCGGTAACGGTTTGTGAGGAGTGTCCTAGGACTGAGGATTAGGAATTCCTCATCAGTTCCCCTACAGTTCCTTGCATACTAAAGGTAAAAATATGGAATATTCACGATAATTTTTGTTCGTACACTTATTTTCACTTGAAAAATTGTGAGAATCAATGATTTCATGCAAAAATTATTTTTAAAACAGCAATATCGCAACTTTCGTGAATGATGGAACTGTAAGAGAACCTATAGTTGATTCTCATTTCCTCTAGGAGTTATCACAGCGGCACTGTCAATTCCTCGACACATTAGGAATTTCTATTTCTCAATCCTTGTTCACTGCTGGTTTGGTGATATTCCTTCAGGAACTTATCGTTCGAACTGTAGATTATGTAACGTATATGTGATCTTAGGATCCTTTGAATTGTTTTATAGTCAAAACTACGTACCTGATGAGATTCTTGAGCAAAATCAAAATATATATAGTAGTTTGTTCCATCTACCTCCACCATCACGCCCTTAATTCACCCTCACATAGTTCACTCAAGCAAGGAGCAAGTAAAAACTGCCTTAAAGTATCTTAATTACACCTAATCTTATGTATTTTTATGTAAAATTCTTGTCACCATTGCTGTGGTTGATGAACTATCTAACCATTGTTTCTTTTTTTGTCAGCTCTCCTTATCTTCAGGATCGGGTTCATTAATATTCAATAGACCGACACGACTTTTTATCGATGACCGATGTTATAATCTGCATCTCCTCAAGATTTAGTTATACGACTTATGCTTATTGTTTCTGTTATTGATTCTTTCTTTTGTTTGGTGAACATGAGACTATGAATGTTTCCTATGCAATGTTCGTGTACTCTTCTCTCTGGTCATTTATTGTATAGCTGTTTTATTTTACATTGGTTTAGACTCACATACATGACAGTTTATCTCGTCAAGTGCTCTCATGAGCTTTATCGTCCTTGAATACGTCTCATTGTTTCATGTGTTAGAGTGAGAGATAAAGTGAGAGAAGTATGTGTGTACGTAAAACTTGTACGCTAACTTTATTTAACAAGAATGTCTTTAAATATAATAATAACATCTATATATAGAGAGAAAAACAAGAGAAGAGCAGAGAGAAGACGAAAGAGAAATAAATCCAGATCAAAGAAGATGAAAGAGGATAGAGGATGACATATATAGATATATAGATATATAGAGTTTGTATGCGGGCGACATCCCTGTAACATCATGGTATATATCTAGAATTTTGTTATATTGGTGCAAATAAATATTGAAGTAAAAGTTCCCTCGCATACACGCAAAGCGTTTGTATTGAATATGTATGGAGAGTCTCCGGTAAATGGTGTGGCAGTGATCGTACATTCTATCAAATCGTTCGGTTGTGTATTATAAGAATAAGAGTCGGCATTGTTGCCCACATTTGTTCCATTTACTTTCCATTGATAATCATAACCAGAAGCATAATCTGAGGGTGTAATGGCTTTAAGAGTTACTGATTCACCTGCATATATTTTTCGCATACCTTCTTCAGGTTGTATAGTGCCTTTGAAATATAACGGAAATTCATGTCCTGAATTATCGATTTCCCAATTAAACCAGTCGGGTGTACGAATATGATATATGGGTAAGACTGTGTTGTTAGGGAAAATTTCAAATTCTGCATGATTAATAGGTATATCATCAGAATATTGATAAAGTCCAGTCCAGCGTATTTGTCCAGGTTTTTTAAGAAGCACTAGCATTTCAGCAGTTACATTTGGAAAACTGAAGGTAACATTTGCTCCTATAGCTTCATAAATCCGAATTTCAGTATTGTCAGTCAATACTATTTCAATACCTATCATTTTATCAGTTTCTATGCGATTGCTACTTAAAATACGACCAGTAGTATTGTGGCTGGGAACTAAAGCAGTTATTATCTTTTGACTCCCCATCCCAGTAAAATTAGCATAGATGTCTACAGCAGGATAAATATTATTTCGAAATCCATAGCCATCAGCATTGTTGAACCAACCACGAAAACTAGTGCCGTCAGTTTTTATATCATTTATATGGGCAGGTATTGGACCGGTGTAACTTTCCGCATAATACTTCGAATAATTCAGTGGTTCTTGAGAAGCTTGTAACATACATATGTTTGCTGTATCGGATTGGTTGGTGGCAATAATTTTATTATTGCTATTTATTGTTACATTAGTATCGGGAAAGTCCTTATGAAAATGCCAAATCTGTGTATACTTATGGGTTTCATCGTCGGACGCCTCCATTTTATCCACTACCAAGGCTATTTTCAAATTTTTTAGATGGATAACTTTCCTTTTATGCGTCACACTCATAATAATGGCAGGAGGAAGCGGACTTGTCTGTGGGCCATAGCCATAGGTATAATTAGTTTCTGCCATGTCAAAACTGTCTCCCACATGCCACAACCCACTTTGAGGGTTTGTCCATGCACCGTGACGTGGATGATTTACTTTTGCCTGTGGTTTATCATCTACTTGTACAGTATTTTGCACCCAACTCGAACCCCATACACTGCCTTCCCCGGCATTTGCTACCAGCATATATCGCCCGAATGCTTCCAGCATAATTTTATTAACATCATTAGCTTCATGCCCAGCACCACGCAAAGGGGAGTGAAGACTAATGAAAAAGTCGTTAGGAGTAAATCCATCACGCATACTATACAAGCCATGCCAAGGAAAAGCTATGGATTTATAGGCTACAGGATGGACTGGTTTAGGCAATTTACCATCGTGAGAGTTATAATCCGCTTGATAATCACCAGCGCATAGAACTTGAGTACCCAAGTTAGTGTATATGTTGTCTCTAAATTTGTTCCTGCGAGTAATCAATGATTCTACTGCATTTTTCCACATGCAACTAATATTAGCATCGGTACATAAACCTAACAAAACCTTCAGTGTGCGATGTGTAAGGAACATATAGTTGAGGGAATTCTCTGTACCCGTACCATCTCGATTAAAGTCACTAAATGGACAAGTAGCTGTTATATCAACTAAATTGCAAAAGACTGTATTTGAGTAACTATTTAATTTTGGTTGTCGTAGAAACTCGGGCATCAAAAGCGATAATTCAAATAAATCTGTAGCAATTAACGTGCGTTGAGCAATCAGACCAACGTGAGGATCATTATCTGCGCCATTGACACCAGGCCAAAGCATCATAAAGTAGCACATTTCAGTAGTAGTACGATAAGGAATATAGGTTTTTGCTTCATGATTCATGTTTGCAGTTAAATGCCGAATACTATCTATCCAACTTTCTAAAAGATTATGTAAGCCATAAATATGCCAATACATAAACCCAACATGATGATAACCCCAATTCTCAGGAGCGGTACAAACCTGATAGTGATTTAATGTTTGTGCAGTTGCAGAAGTAGATTTGCATAGTCGCAGCCCACAATTCCAATTGTTATTCACAAAGTCCCGGGTTATATTCGACCACCGTGTAAGATATTGTTCACTGGTGAAGGGACAACTTACACCTGCTTTTATGTCTTCTACCTTACGTATTAACACTTTAGGATGAGCTAACGTGTTGATATAACAGTTATAACTGTCAGGTCTATGCCATTCCATAGAGGGATTTCCTGAACCTGCAGCCATATCAATTGCTGATTTTCTTGAAAACGGCAACCCATAATCTACTATTAGGCTTTCTCGTTGGAATTTTACAGTGTCGGATAACATTAAATCATCATCATTACAGACATACCAACTAGCTCTTGAGTATTTTGATGCATCAGTAATTGAGCTAGTTCGATCCCAAAATAAATTAGACCACTCTTGTAATGCAATGGTGTAATTTCCTTTCTGCACCATGGTTTTTACATTGGTTAAGCCAGGATAATCAAGATTGATTTCTGAAAAAAATTTTGCGCCAAAATCATTATCACTCATATCAACCATATATTCTGGTAGTTCAGGTCGCATCGGTATAACTTGCGTACTCGAGCATGTAGCCATGAATAAAATCTAAACGAGATGTAGTGTATGTATTATTGTATAGATACGAGAATCAATTAGTGGTGTGTGAGGGCGTGAGTGTAGGCGCCATTGAAGAAATACTATTTCTCATACGCACATTATTCAAGATGATCCAAGCAAAACTTTCTTTATGAAATACAATTCAATGTTTCTCAAGTATTGAATAAAAAACGTCAAGTAACACCAGCATCCTTTTTTCATGCATGTGAATCGCTTGTAGAAAAAAGAGAAAGTGATATTGAACAACACAAAATTGAGGTGATTGTAGTCTAGTTATTCTCTAATCGGAGCGTCTTTCAGTATACATACTTGTTAGTATCAATAGATGGCGCTCATTGACAGTAAACTTGTCGCTCTGATACTCCTCTTTGATCTGGGTGTTTTATGAAATGCGTTTTTCCTGAGTCGAAATACGTTGTCTTTTTCGATAAACGCGTTTAGGGTGTGGGTGTTATTGACGGGAAATTACACCCATTCACACCATCAAGATAGCCACGACATTTGTCTATCAATGGTGGTAAGTTGTTTTGTTTTTATTAATATTTTAAATGAATATATAAAACAACAAGTTTCTTAATAGTTTGCATGATAAGATTTTCGTTTTTGTTGATTAAACAATCATAGTTGACTAATATTCTATGTTCACATGTTAGCCGTTTATTATTGTGGGAATATAAGTTATTTACTTCTTATTAAATTGTCTAGATTGAATTCAGACTTGGTAGTTTATATTAACCCAGCAGATTTAGAAAACAAGCTGATAGCGCAATCCCTGTGGGATTAAAATATGAAACACGGTGAAACTTCTTTGCTGGAACCCGTCTACCACAGTCTATGAATCTTTACAGCATTTTTGCCACCGCCTGAAATTATATGTGGAGCCTTTCGGCCATGATCTGTGGTGATCTCTGGAACTTTTCTGTCACAGTCTGTGTCGTAATGTATGGAGCCGCTAGAGACCATCACAGACCGTTACAGAGAAATTTAATAATTAATTAATTAGCCAACTAGCTAATTTATTTATTTCTCTGTAACGGTCTGTGGAGGCGAGGGGATGGGTTTAAATTTCTACCCTATATACTTCAACAATCATTTCAGATCATGTTTCACAAAAGAATATTTACATATCTAAATGTTCTTTTATAAACGGTTGTTATACTGGAAATTATACTTTTTATGTATTTTAGATGGCTGCAGCTACAACAGATTCTTCGATCCGCCTTCAAGAAGTATGGGCTAAACAAGAAAGATACAGTTAAATGCGTCTATTCATTGATTTCCAAACAAAAATAATTGAAGATATTTAGCTATTAGTATTGGGTGATTCTTCTAAACATTACCAGACTTTTTATCGCCAACAGTCTCTAACAGAAAATGCTACTATTCCAGCTGTTGTTTCCTTCGAAAATCCCATATAATTAAACCGCATCATCAATCGTTCTTGTAATTACTTTTTCTGTTGCGCCAGCTAATGAATCACTTATGTTTTTTATTCTATAATATTTTTATTTTCAGCTATTCCAACCAATGAATACGGCAGTAATGCTCGTACGAGTTTTCGATTGAAAATAAATGATGAAAGAAGAACCAGCACCATCCTCGACAACTTTCAACAACTTTCTGAGTGCAACAAATGCCTACATTGTAAAAAAATTCCGCAGAATAATAAACGGAAAAAAACGTTTTTGATGGGGTATTTAACAAAAAAAAAGCGTTTATGAAAGTGCCCCGTATAATACACCCTTTTCTTCCGTATATGATGAAGATAATAAATGGTTTTTAGGTTTATGATTTGGAAAACGGGTTTATCAGATATTCTAAAAACGGAAAAAGGGGTATGTGTCACGCTGCACTTTCATAAACCTTTTTTTTATTATAGTGTAGGCAAATGGAAGACAAATTGTTCAAATAGAAGTATCTTTATATATCGTTTTACAAATTTGCCTTTAAAAAAATGATCGATCAGGCACTATTGGAAAAATATACGTTTTCTTTCAACAGATAATTGTTCAGATGAGTAATAAAAAAGGTTTCCAACGAGCGATCATTCTTCGATTCTACTCAATATCTTTGTCAAACGCATTTTTCTATTGAGTATCCTAAATAGTCTGCAATACATAATTATAATTAGTAGAATAAGTTCGTTCAAATACATGTGATATTTTGTTGTTTGACAGTTTTTTTATGATAAGTAGAATAAAATAAATGACAATTTTACTAAAATTGAATAAATGAAGGGTGTGGGTGTGTACACTGATAAAAAAAGCGCCGAATGATAAACGTTTAAAGCGTTTATGAAAATGCAATGTATGATATACCCTTTTCTACCGTTTAGTAGCATGCGATAAACCCTTTTATCTACCGATCAAAAGACGAAATAACAAGGTTTATCATAGCCTTTATACGACTGAACAACTTTAAATGGGTGTATCATACGCTGCATTTTCATAAACCCTATCGAAGGTGTTAGAGAGTACTCTAGCAAGTTATTTATTTATTTGAGTGTGGGTGTGGGTTGTATAGTATAAATAGAAAAAAAAGAATAATGAAAAAAATATTAGAATTCAGATTAGGAATCGAAAATAGGAAATTTGTTGTTGATTGGTTAAATAGAAACATAAATTTCTATTCTGTGAATTGATTTAAGTTACAGCGGCGCCTCTGTAACACTTTCTATCTCAGTTTTTTCAATATCTTCATATTAAACACAAAAATGCATGTTTATCTTTCCTCATTTTTGCTGTCATTATTATCTACACTGCAATATTGTAAAAATCAAACGCATGGCTAATGTAAAAATATCGATGATCGAATAAGACTACTTACCAGCCGATGTCAAAATGCTTATTATTTAATGTGAGTCTACAAGAGGTATTACTTTGTATATATATAGGTGTTACATATTTTTTCTTTTTTTCTAACATAAAATATTTACTTGAGTCAATGGAGTGTGACTCTAATTTCGCTACTTCTTATTTTCGTATATCAAAACATTGTTTCATGTACAACGCAACTTCACCACATAAGTGATTCATATTTTCCTTTCGGTTGTGACCAGTGCAAAACAAAAATGATGAGCATCTTACTATTTCCTTTCATCAAGTTAGCGCGTGGGTGACTGTATAAAATAACATTAACCAGACACAGGCCCTCACACCGACACCCTAAGAAACCATTTTTGACGCAAAGGTAAAATAAGGAACCCATGTGCGCAGAATAATAAACCACTCCGATCAAACAGTAGAACAATCGATCTCTCTACGTAGAATGATAAACCCTTTCGATGAAAGAGCGGAAATATCAACTCATGTACGATGAATAATGAACTTCTTTCAACAAAAGAGAAGTAGAATCAACTATCAACCGACGATAAAACTATCCCTTGAGATGCTAAGGTAGATAAGCCGATATTTGTCAGTAGAATAGAAGAACCTGTCAATGAAGAGGCATAGAATTGAGCATTCACGTACAGTACTAAACCCTTTTTATTAAGATGTAGATGAATCAACTGTTGAACGTGGAATACTAAACTTTTAGCAGGAAATGGTATCAGATTCTACCCTTAGGCATAGAATAATGAACTGTTTCTGAGAAACGGTAGCTTAATCTACCCAGAAAGGCAGAGTGATGTACCCTTTTAACGAAAACGTAAAATAGTAAACCCGATAACGAAGAATAAAATACCCTACCTTGAAAGCGAACAACAATCTACGATCATCCGTTGAGGGATATACTCTTATCTTAAAATCATAGAATAATGAATCCTTATGTACCCATCATATACCCCTTGAGTTTTCATAAACCCATAGCGTCATAAATCCTTCGACTAATAAACGCTAAAAGGGTTCATCAGATTGGAATAAACCGTTCAAGGGTTTAATGGCGACTTTTTTAAGTACAGGGACAGATCATTTCCCGGATTGTTTTATCAGTGTAGGTGTGTGAATAAGAACATCAGCCGTTCATATCCACATCCATATGACCAGACCCCTTATTTACAGTTTTTTCAATAGATAGTGTACATGTACTTCATGAAAGTTAACTCGTGTTGGAAGGAAAACATTCCACGATTGAAATTATATTCTATTACAATAAATCATCAAAGTATGTTAGGATGGTGATTTTCGTGGAATGAAACTTTGTCATTAGGAAATATGGAAAGAAAGAAATCACTTTAATTGCCGAATTAGTAATGTTTCGATTTGCAGCGATCTTTCCATATAATTTCTCGCAGAATAATCAAATATTAAAATTTAAGTCGATTTGAAGTATCATGTTTTGATATTCCTTCATTCAAACAGTCATGTATGAATAATTTATTGCAATTAAATTTATTCAACTTGCAACGAATAATACTCAATATTTTAATGTCTGGCTTAATATCGTTTGTCAGCTCCCCCCGCTTATATTTTTTCTTTCATACTATCGTTTGTTTATCATATTTTGGTTTTTTAATACCTACTTCATCGTTCTCTCTCATGCTGCTACTAATATATATATGCATGGTGTGTGCGTTTGAACTGTAGTATAAGCATGCAAATTCATTAATTACTCTTTAGAGAAATCCTCTTTTCGTTATACTTACGTGAAAATAAAAAGATGCGCATCCTTGCTTTTTTACGTCTCGCTATATTTGAGCAGTAAAAGTAACGGCCTTAGCACACACTTCTACTCGGGTCGTTTTCCAACGATAAGTGCCTGGGAAGCTGATCTAATCTTTAATGGAAATTACAGTACATTTTGTCACCAACTTGCAAGTCGACTGATTCGTGCTGAGACTGATAGAACACTACACAGGTGACCAAATATAACGAGGCGGTTACTTCTATGAATCATGGTACTATATTGGCCCACGTCTGGGAATTCGAGATTTACTAATTAACTACCGTCCCAATGGTGATGGTACGCCAGGGGCTAGTGCAAAAAATATTTATAGTGTGTCCAGGACAAACAGTCGTATTGTAAGATCTGACAAGATC